TTCCTGTTGTTGCCAACATATGTGTTTAGTGTGTTTCTTCTCAGATCTTCCTGTTGTTGCCAACATATGTGTTTAGTGTGTTTCTTCTCAGACCTTCCTGTTGTTGCCAACATATGTGTTTAGTGTGTTTCTTCTCAGACCTTCCTGTTGTTGCCAACATATGTGTTTAGTGTGTTTCTTCTCAGACCTTCCTGTTGTTGCCAACATATGTGTTTAGTGTGTTTCTTCTCAGACCTTCCTGTTGTTGCCAACATATGTGTTTAGTGTGTTTCTTCTCAGACCCTCAGATCTTCCTGTTTGCAATAATTTTTTCCTTCTGATTCCCTTCCTGATTTGCCCCCTCCACGCATTTTGTTCCCACCAATCCACCTCAATACCTGTATCATTTCTGTCCCGCTTACACACATCTTTATACCACAGGAGAAGTTGGTCTTGACACTTCTACCCACGGACATGAATGTTAGGGGGAAAAAACAACAACCTCTCTTCCCCCCCCCCCCCCCCCCAACAAGGTCCTATTAGCAGGTCTGCAGACATGGTTGGAATACGGTGCCCAACCGCATGTTTACAGATGAACTATCCCTGGGCAATGTGGTCAGTATCATGCCAGCCATCATTACTTCCTAGAAAATGTCCTAGTATCAACTATAGGCTAGGAACTAAGGCCACTAAAATAAAAACAGCTCCAATATCAACGGGGATTTAAACCCAATACCGCCATGATAGCAGACTATACTCTATCAGCTTGTGAACCAGTTTTCAAGGGCACTAGCTTGGATCAAATGTTTCTGCGGTAGTGGTCTCTTTGACACCTTGATCTCCTAAATGATCTGTCAGTTACATGTCAACCAGACTGTCACACAATCAATATTAGAGAACCAGTCTTTCACTCAAACTGTCATTCAACTAGTCAATCACTCAAACTGTCTGTTGGTGTTTTGGCGCTCACTGGCTGAAAGCTCTGGCACAATGTCCTATTTGGTTATACATTTATAAACCTTGCTTTTGTTCCAGGACCTGAGTTTTGTGTGTGTATATTCATTTTACAAATGTGTGCAGTGTGTTGTTTCCTAGCCTGTCAGGCAAATGCACTCTTGATTCGAAGAAGTGTCTGTTGGTCAGCTAGTTCTCTTCCTCTCCCTGCGTGGGTTCCAGGGCCCAAATGGGAAAACAAGAACAGACCCACTATCTTCCTAAAAAGAATGTTGTAGAAGCTGACTTATTTGGGAGCATCCTTCGAAGTCGGAGTACATGTGCCAGAGAGGCAACAAACCAAGAGTCTGCACACAAATAAGCCTTTATGAAACAGTTGTGCTTACAACACTCAGATTCTGGGACAACACTAAGTCCGCAGGTGGACGAACCCCAAGAGCTTTTCACCAGAGTTACAGCCTGTGAACATAAGGAAGAAGACGTCTGTCCCTCAACCAGTACATTGTCCAACCAGTCAGACATGCAATTAAAGAAGCAGTCGACAGTGACCCAGGCCCAAGTCAAGTAGCCCTCTATGTACATACACAGTGTGACTAGTACAAGAACATGGTGTTACAGGATCTCCAAACAGGGGCTGAAACTTCAACAACAACTGAACTGCCAGTACGTATCTATGACAACATCTGAGCAAGGAGATTACAGACACAGATACTCTACTGAAGTGTCTTGTCCACTTAAAGAGGAACTCTTAACAATCACAATCAAGTCTATATCAACTCACAGAGACACTATAACAATAAAAATTCTTCTTCTTCTTCACGTTCACCAGCTGTAAACTCTGGCGGGAGGTTCTGGTTGCTCGTCCACTACTGAACTGCAGTCCTGCTCCAGAAACTGAGTGTTGTGTGTGCATCAGTTTTACAGATCTCATTCTCTTGAATACAGACTGTTGGTTCCTTGCCTCTCCGGCAGATGCACTCCGACTTCAAAGGAAGCTCCCCAATTAGTCGACTCTTACGACATGCTTTTGGGGAGGCAGTGGGTCTATTCTTGTTTTCCCCACAATGGGGCCCCGGAACCCACACGGGGGACTTTTAACAATCAAACTTCATGCTATTTCCTCAGACACTCCAGCCATCAAAAATACCAGTGCATCTAGTCAGAGACTAACAATGAAATTTCACACTTCATCTACTCAGAGATACTCTAGCAATCAAAATTCACATTGCATCTACTCAGAGATGCTCTAGCAATCAAAATTCACATTGCATCTACTCAGAGATCCTCTAGCAATAAAAATTCACATTGCATCTACTCAGAGATACTCTAGCAATCAAAATTCACATTGCATCTACTCAGACATTTTAACAATCTTAATTCACATAGTGTCTTTTCAGGGACACTCTAGCTATCAAAAGTCACAATGCATCTATTCCGAAGACACTCTAATGAATACAAATAAAACACCGCATCTACTCAGAGATATTTGAGCCATCCAACTTTACCTTGCATCTACTCAGAGACATTCAGGCCATTTAAACTCACACTGCATGTATAGAGAGACATTCTAGCCATCAAGAACACAGTATCATTCACATAGACACTCTAACATTAATTTTCACAGGGTCAACAATAACACCCCCCCCTCCCCCAATAATCATCAAAGTACTTCGTGCATTATGAAGAGAGGCACAAGATCCTCTCCTCGCTACTGATTATGCTTCAAATTAACAAAAACATGGCCGAATGTTGAGGCTGAGAAATAAGACTAACTCTCAACTCTCTCAACAAAAGGCTACTTAAAAAAACAAAAACAAAAAAACATACACGCTTTAAACAGCGACACCACAGCCCCTGGAAAATATATGTACACATGTATTTACAACTTTAAATGCTCAATAAATGTACACAAAAGTTTACTCAGTACAAATGCTCAGCAATTTGCGAAAAAATGATATCTGAAACAATGAAAAACCATGCTTTTTATGTTTATTGCTAGAGCCTACCAATGAAAATGTACGCTTGCTTGCCTAGTATACCACCAGAACCAATGGAAAAACTGTAATTTAAGTATCTTGGTACAGCCAATCAGTGACAATCTGTGCTTGCTTGTACAGTATACTACAGAAACCAATGAAAATCTATGTATGTTAAGTATACTGCTACATTCATCAGCTGAACATCTGTGTTTGTCTGTATAGCATAATATCAGAACCAACAACTATGTACTTTATGTTAACTTTTATATTTAACAAATTAAAAAAAAAAGCTTAGCTTGTCACTTGTGATTTTATTAACCTGAAGCCCATCACTGAACCCTGAACTAATCCACAGGTGCTCACTGTCTCTTGACGTATCTTTCTAATTCCTTTTAATTCTGCAATGTAATTATAATGTATAATTTTTGGGGGATCTTTTTGAAACCTAAGAGGGGAAAAAAAAAAGTACTTCCTAGTGTGGGTTAGTTCTCCATTTTAAGGGGAAAAGAACAGGCCCGCTGCTTCCTTACAAGCATGTCAGAAAAAGCCACTAACTGGGGTGTTTCCTTTAAAGCCAGAGTACATCTGCCCGAGAGGCAAAGAAAAGACTGCATAAAAAAATAAAAGCCAGATCTGTAAATTAGATAATCACGCAAAACTCAAGTTATGGAACAAGACTGAAGTCCAGACATGGATGAACAACCAGACTTTCCAGCCGGTGAACGCTATAAGTAGAAAAATAAATACTTGATGAAAACAATTTAATAGTACTTAATTAAAATCTCCATACCATCTCTAACTGCACTGGCTATGAAAGCCCCTGGGGCTAGAAAGCTGGCTAGAGAAAGAGACTTTCAGATGTGCAGAGAAAGAGACGATCAGATGTGCCGTGATGAGAGTGAATTTTGTAAAGGACCTGCTGCTGGACTGATCTCTACTGAAGTTTTTTTTCAATCTGTGTGTGCGTGAGAGAGAGAGAGAGAGAGAGAGAGAGAGAGAGAGAGAGAGAGAGAGAGAGAGAGAGAGAGAGAGAGAGAGCCAGAGAGAGAGAGAGAGAGAGAGAGAGAGAGAGAGAGAGAGAGAGAGAGATAGAGAGAGAGAGAGAGATCATTCATTATATGTTAACCTTATTTAACAGGAAACGGTCAAAAAATATTTTCTAAATTACTAGTTTTATCTCTCACTTTTCCACTTGTGTTGTAAATCTGCTTGCAGTTTCACAAACACATATGCCAGCTACACATATTTAAACCCCACAAAAACTAATCAACTACTGTATCTAACTGCTACAAAAATTAAAAACAAATGTTAATCAAAATGAAACAATAATGGTCTATAAATAACTAGACACAAAAATAACCAAATTTATAAAAACTAGAAACAGAAAAAACAAATTAATAAAAACTAGATGCAAAAACCATCAATTCTATAAAACTAAATACAGATGTAACCCAAACAATAAAAACTAGATGCAGAAATAACCCAGTCTGTGCAAAAACTAAAACCTATCAACATAAACGTTTACAAATGTAACACAGGTTGGCTACAGACCAATGTGAGATAATAAATCAGGCACCCATACAATATGTTTACAACATAGTTAGCAGCCAGACACTCCAAAATCTACTAGCAGAGACTGAACACCTGATGGACTTGTTCTTAGTGTAAGGATATTGATTGTTTCTAACACTACCAAACTGCAATCAAATTTTGTTTTTCAAAAGCTCAGCACTGAGATTCTGTTTCCTTCAGTAATAAATCTGAGAGAGACCTAACTAAAAATCCTCTCCAATAAAACATTCAAGGATGAACACACCTAATTGGTCAACTAGCGCGTATCAACATGAGGCCACTGCAGTAAAGCTATAAAAGTCTTTTAAAAAAACCAAAACAACCTGTCATTCTGCTGATAAAGGCTAATCACCACAATGACTCTAGCCTTTTGTAATGCACTCTGTAAAGCTCACATAACTTTTATTATACTGTTAAAACTATTTGGTCAAATGGTCGGTAGAATAAAAGCTGAGCTGGCCTTGTGTGCAGATCTGGTCCCTTGTGACTGGAGCACCTGTGCTTAGATCCCTGTGATCAGTCTATGTACTGGACGTAGTTCTCTGGTATAATTCCTGTCTTGCCGTCCAGTGTCCCCTCTAGCCAGCCCGGTTCTCGAGACGGTCGCACTGATGGACAACAATGGGTACACATTATTCAATATTCATTATACAGTGCAAACCTCTTGAGGTGATCTCAGATGTGGCTAATTTCAATTTGTTTATCTCCTGCAATTTCTCTGGCTTGAGATCTTACCTAGGTAAAGAGGAAACTAATTTTTGGGTCCCCTGCGCCTTCTTATAAACAGGCCTGCAATGTTTACACACAGGATGTCTCATAAGTTTTCATACATTCTACAATTTTATGTTTTTTTTAAAGAAAACCACTTATATATATATATATATATATATATATAATATATATATATATATATATATATATATATATATATATATATATATAGAGAGAGAGAGAGAGAGAGAGAGAGAGGAGAGAGACAGAGAAAGAGAGAGAGAATGGTAAGATGAGAAGATGGTGAGGGGTGAGAGAGAGAGAGAGAGCCAGAGAGGGAGAGAGAGAGAGGAGATAGAGAGGGAAAAAGATAGCCAGAGAGAGAGAGAGAGAGAGAGGGGAAAGAGAGGGGGAGGGAGAGGGAGAGAGAGGGGAGAGAGAGTGGAAGGGGGAGAAAGAGAGAGAGTTAGTACCAGATAGGATTCAGTTAAGAGGAGTGAATTATTATAGAGCACTCATGGCCAGTTGGGTGTGACTGCAGAACCTGCCGCCATACAGGCATATAGTGCTAGAATACTCTACACCATGAAGTACTAAAGTAGCGGCGGCGTAGTAACTAGACACTCAGCCGCAACCTCAAAGCTCCAGTCTGAATCTGCATCAGGCAGATTTATAAAAAATATTTAAAAAAAAAAAGGTTGACCCAGCCTAAAATGGTACCAGGAAACATCAGGCAAAGCTGGCTAGTATGTTATTAACAACCACACCAAACTGAGAGAGTTAGTACCAGATAGGATTCAGTTAAGAGGAGTGAATTATTATAGAGCACTCATGGCCAGTTGGGTGTGACTGCAGAACCTGCAGCCATACAGGCATATAGTGCTAGAATACTCTACACCATGAAGTACTAAAGTAGCGGCGGCGTAGTAACTAGACACTCAGCCGCAACCTCAAAGCTCCAGTCTGAATCTGCATCAGGCAGATTTATAAAAAATATTAAAAAAAAAAGGTTGACCCAGCCTAAAATGGTACCATGAAATATCAGGCAAAGCTGGCTAGTGTGTTATTAACCACACCAAACTGACCTGGTCTACACACATGAGTCTGGCAGCATATGTTCTGTTTGTCTGCTAAAACTGCCTGTATTTATCACTTTTGTGGTATAGAGAGGGGGAAAAACAAATAGGGGGAGGTAGGGCGATTTGAGCTTGAGAATTTAGGGCCACATGAATCGCACAGCTGTCACCGACAGTGCAGGCCAGGATTTTAATAATCATGAACATGAACATGATTTAAAAAAAAATTGCCAACTCTAATTGTAAAAGCAGAAGAAGAAATGCAAACAGGGTTTGATTCTAAACTTGACATGTTTTTAACAATTTATTTGTATGTGTAAATGCTATCAAGGACCCCCCAAGTGGGAAACATTGGCTCAAGTCACCAGACCGTACTTGCTGAGGAAAATCTATAAACTGCTTCGTACCCATGTTTTACTGATTAGGACTGCGTAAACGGCAAAAGCCAAAAGAGGCAGAGGGAGATCGAGGGAGAAGATGCTGGACTTCTTCTTCTTCACTTCATCTTTTACCGCTGTGGGTGTCAAGGGAGATATAAGGTTCTGTCTCTAGCTCTTCTGGCCGCCTCAACCATAGGCACATCACGCTTTTGTAGAGTTTCTCTGATGTTATCCTTCCATCTTGTTCTTGGTCTACCTCGTGCTCTACGTCCTTCTTCTCTTTCCATGTATGCTTTGTATGGTATGGTGTCACAAGGCATTCTCTCTAATTGGGCAAACCATTTTACCTGCTGTCTTTGTATGTAATTTATAATTGGTTCTGTGCCGACTTTTTCTCTTATGATCTCATTCCTGATCTTATCTCTTATGGTCACTCCTACAGCCCTTCTCAGACATCTCATCTCCATGGTTACTAATTTTCTTTTATGGTTTGTTGCGAGTGACCATGTCTGGCACTGGTAGCACAGAGTTGGAATAAATATGCTTTGAATAAGATGTCTCTTTGTGCTGGACAATCTGACATTACGGCATAGAGGATCACCTGTTTTAAAGTGACTTAAAGTACACAAGATAGAACGCCATGGTTACTTCTAAGTCACCAGCTGGTATGAGGTGGACACATAACTGAACAAGCCAAACAGTAATGCGCCATAAAGTGACAGACAAAGAAGGATAGAAAAAGACAGAATAAATGAAAGAACAAACTTTATTTTCAAAGGATAACAAAATAGGCACAAAGGGGAGAGAGAGATGGAATGTGAGAGACACAAAAAGAGAAGATGGTAAGGCAAGAGAGAAAGAAAGAGAGATGGAGAGTGAGAGACGCAAAGAAAGAAGGTTGGGATTCAAGAGAAACACGCAGACATAACTACTGCTAAAATCTAGTAATCTATTATCCAACAATCACCATTTGTAATCATCTGGTTTGCCTCAAATGACAGCTCTGTGTCATTATCACCGACACATCTGTATCGGGTTATCACAGTTCTGAAAATGTGAAACAAAAAAATGTTGGTGACAACAGCGAATAAAACAAAGCAATAGGTGTAATCGAAGTTTCTACATTCCACATAAACAAAATATTTACAAAATCATTTGGCCTGACAGAGGTGGACAGAAAATATAAAAAAACCTGTATCAAATACATTTTTTCAAAATTATAAAAATAATAAATCATTAATCATTAACTGTAAACGGAAACTCAGAGGAAAATTCTGCACCAAACACTCATATTCCTTATAAGTTCAAATCTTACATCTACTTAACCCTTTCAACATGCAAATGTTAAACAAATGGGTCACAAACCTTTAGTAATTCCCAGCAATAACTTTAAACAATCAACCATATTACAAAGGTCACTAACACAAACATGTTTTTAAAATGTATCTTTATTTATAATTTAAAAAATATGTACACAGATATAAAAAGGGGCAATCCATAAACAATCCGATGCAAGATAAATCAAATCTATTTGATGTGAGATCAAAACAGCCAGGTCTGAAAATACTTAAAAGAAAGAAAAAGATCATGAGAATAATAGGCAAATAGTAATGTGATTCCTCTTAATGGTCTCTCATTTTAGGATATGGAGTCGTTCATCTATTTGGACAGTAATGTAGATAAAGATGGGGGAAACTGACAGAGATATTAAATATGAATACAAAAAGAAAGAGCAGCTTTCATAGCACAATTCTAATGAAAATAAAGTATTTGTGTAGGGAGCGAACAGGGAGAAAAACCCAAAGGCAAAAACTAAAAACTACAAATAAAAAAAAACCTGGTCCCCTGAACAAATACGGGAAAATTTAAAAGGGTATAATAAAATCATAATGTAGAGCTTTGGGAGAGAATAAACAATTTTCCCGGGACAAAAGGTGAAGTAAAAGAGGTCGTTGGATAGGACACCCCAAAGAAAAAACCCTGAAACAATATGTTTTAAAAGGGTCTCTCCCCCTGGCCCCCCCAAAATTAGTATCATAGAAAAAAAGGGAAAAAAAACAAACACACACGGGAAAAAGGAGCCAGAGAGGAAAAAAAAAGATGGGGGAGGACATGGGGAGGGGCGAGTGATGGGAAAGGGGACAGAAAAACCCAAGGGTGAGTTGGTTGAGGGCCTAGGTCCTTTGGGGGGTTTTAGAAAGAAAAAAAAAGTTTAAAAAAAACTTTAAAAGGATGAAGCTTTAAAGGGAAATTTCCCATTCCCAGAGCCAAAAAAAAAAAATAGTAGGGGGCAGCTTAGGGGGGAAAAATGCTCATATAAAATTGGAAAATACGCTCGGTGACTTCAAAAAGGTTTTCCCTTTAAACCATTTTTATTCTTTGTATTTTGAAAGTATACGGGGAAAATGGGGTTTTGGGATACATTCTTTTTTTTAAAGGGAGGCAAAATAAAAAAAGCTTTTTAATTCCCCTGGGATTTTGGCGAATCACACACAAAAATTTTTTTCCCAGACGTTAAGTGTTAAGGTCAGAGAAAAAGAGGACCAAGCAAAATTACTGATTTGGAGTTTTTGAAACACCATTGTTGGTGTAGAAATGTTATCCCCTAGCCAGACTTTTGGGCCAGCAAAACCCCGGGGCAATTTGTTTTTAATTTCCCCCTAAAGGTTCCCTTAACTCGCGGGGGTTCGACTTCACTATTGACACAGTGAGGGGAAAAAGTGTTGGCAAAAAGAATGAATTTGATTTTGTGAAGTAAAATGGGGGTTTGTACTAGGCCTATAGCTGGGCCCTTTTTTATTAAACCCAGGAGTCCTAGCTTTGGGATTAAAATTTGTTGTACAGTCACGGTGACGGGGAAATACCCCACGGGGGGAGGAGCTGTGAACCCCCGTAATGAGAATGATTTTGGGCCCGAATGTAGGAGGAGCGGGATAAAAGTTGGGGGGGTTTGGGAAACTATAGGTTTTTGGTAAATGAGATCCGTCGAGCCCCAGCCATTGGTTTGGGCCCTTTAAACCCAAGCTTGAGAAGAAAAATTTTTACGTGGTTTAAATTTTTCCCAAGGTTTAAAATTTGGGAAAATTGGGTTATATCTAATTTTATGTAGAACTGTTTTTGCTCAAGTGTGTCTTTATCACTTTGTAGATCCCAGGCGGACATTTCTTCATTCTCGTTAGGGCACTGCACATTTCTTTTTTCCAATTTTTATGGGGGTCATGAATTTTTTTTTGTTGCACCCGGTTTCAATTTTGGGGTTAAAACCAAATGTTGTTTTGCATTGAAAAATTTTGAACTTTTCATGTTTTAAAAAAACAAGGTGAAGAAACTTTTTGGAATCTTTTCAGGTTTTGGTTAAAGTGGGAAATTTTATTTTCCCTACAGTAAAACACTGAAAGGTTTAAACTTCGGGAGGGAAAAGCGGAGAAATTTATCCCCGGGGAGTAAATCCAGAGATTGTATTTTATTCGCACCCCGAAAAAATATTTTTACATTCTGGGGCGCTTTGATTGTTCCAAAACAAGATTCTAGAATGGTTTTGTCGGGCGAGGGGCATTTTGGAGGTACGAGAGATGGCACCTTTACGGAAAAAAATTTAAATCAGACAGGACGGAGAGGGAAAAGGGAGAAGAAAGTAACAGTTGGGAAAGTGAGGGCCAAAACCCCTTCCCCAAATTGGGAAGGAGGGAATGTGAGAAAGAGGGGAGAGATGAAATGTTTTTTTTAAATAAAAAATGCTTGATTTGGGATTAAAAATTTAAAGCTTTGTGACATCTGAGCAGATTTCTAACAAATATGCGCTTGTTTCATTTCCAGTTCCCCCACGGGCAGGGTATTTGGCACCATTTTTTGCCCACCCCTGAGGTTTTAACGAACCCGCAGAAAGCCCGTGAGGCGGGCAAAATTGGGGAAAAAATAGGCAGGGTCTCAAGCCGGGGAAAAGTCCTGGAGCCCAAGTTATTTTCAACCCTTTAAAGCATCTATTTAAAATAACCCCAAATTACTAGCCTAAAACAAGTTCTTTAATTTCGATTTTTTAAATTTAAATTTTTTTTGATGTTGTTTCACAGAGTTTAAATAAAAAGGGTACTTTGGTTCAAGGTCTTTTTGCATTTTAGATTCAGCAACAAAAAATTAAACCAATTTTATGGGGGCTTTTTTGTAAAAGCAGGAAAAGGGGGCCCCCGAGGGTTAAATGAGCCCCCGGAATTTTTCACATGGGTGTATCCAGATATCTACCCACCCCTTNATTTTAATTTCGATTTATTAAAATAAATCTTTTTGATGTTGTTACACAGAGTTATAGTAAATGTGTTGTCCTTATGTTTCAAGTGTATGTGTGCCATATTAGTTTCTTACTTAAGCTAACAAATATTTTAAATCCCCTTGATGGGGGGGCTTTAAATAATGCTCAGGGAAAGGAGACCAGTCGCAGGGGTTAAATGAGCACCTGGAGTCTATCCACAGTGGGTGTATCCAGATATCTATCTACCCCTTCCTTCCTTCTCCTGTGGAAGACAAGTACAGCAACTTTTTCATTTCATGGAACGAGCCACTCGCTGTTTTCTTGGCTATCCAGGGACTGTATAGGATAACATAGCTTAGATAAAGTCCCAGTTTCTCAAGTGGGTGGGCATTGTTAAGTTCATAACCACGACCCATCAATATTCAGTGGATTTACCCACTGTGGTCGCTGCGCGACATATATATATAAAAAAAAAAATTGCTTTGTGAAAGATGAATGACTGGAAGGGTCAAATGTAAGACGGCTCTGTGTGCTAAAATTATGACCCTTTAAAAGACAATTCATTCATTCATTCGCTCTCCCAGAGACACAACATACATACATATGATGTCCTGTCTATTGTACAGATCACCTACCTGCGGCTAAAACTTAGATGCAGGTGAGACTGCCCTGTGTGAGGAAGAATATCAACATTTATTGTTTATATTTGCTACAGCAAGGTATGGGAATCACAGCTCATGACAATGGGGAGTGTGACCGGCAAGACCTGCCCAATGTCAGACAAGTCTTCTACACTCTGAGTATTGTGATTTCAGTACCACTGCGGCCATCGCCTTGTAATTAATGTTTCTTTTCCAATGCTCAACTCTTAATCTATCTGCAATCATTTTCTCCTTTATCCCCATTCCGTTCCTAATGGTTCCCCCTCTATGCATCACAGTCCAAGGTATCTCATCTCCACAAGTTCACCTCAATATCTGTATGACATTTGCCCACATCTGTAATCATAGTAGAGAATAAATATTTATTAGTGGAAGAATAAATCCAGAGATTTAACACCCTCCCACCCCCCTCCCCCCCCCCCTTTTCCCCCCAGGAATACTGACTAAAATTTTGGTACTTCAGTGGTGACCGGGATGTCAGCTCAACAGGAACAAACCCAAAGATGGCTAAACATGGGCATTCTGCAGCTACATCAAACAATACCTTGATGTACTCTGTGATGGTTTTACGGATCCTCATGCAAGAATCCTGCCTCAAGTCACAGTTGTGCATTTTGGATTAGGGCCTATATCAGCTTGAATCAAGCTCACAGGAGATCTCAGAGTTGGTGCCCCCACCAAAGAGTCCAGGAATCTGCTGCCTTCATCAGCCTACCTCCAATGCATGGGTGATAACATCTATCAAAACTAACTTGGAACACCAGTGAAGCTTTGTGGCCAAATATCCTACTATATGACAAACCTTGGTTCAAAATCATAGTGAAGTGCTGCTTGGGCTCAAATGTTCATCTGTTAAGTGTCCTACAGCATAGCAGCAAAGTTCTAGATGTCCGACTACTGAATGACCTACTGTGTGACTGACAAGGTTCCATCAAACGTCCTACTGTCTGACAGATAAGGTTCAGACATCTCAGTGTCAATTGTCCTACTGAGTGACAGAAAGGTTCAAATGTCTGCTACCACTGTCCCCACTCATCAGACCATAAAAGCGAAAACCATGCCAGATGCATGCTTTCCCTATACTGTCGCACCAAGTGTTCTGATGCCACTATGTTGAAGGAACGTGCTGAGGAAGATTATGCCCATCTGTGTGGTCATTGAAGTCTGCAGGCTGCTTCCTGTTTATTTCCAGATGGTGTAGCCCATGATGAGTGGGAAGCTCAACATAAGGATGTGAGAGGTTAAGCAGTAGCCCATGATGAGTGGGAAGCTCAACATGTGGATGTGAGAGGTTAAGCAGTAGCCCATGATGAGTGGGAAGCTCAACATAAGGATGTGAGAGGTTAAGCAGTAGCCCATGATGAGTGGGAAGCTCAACATAAGGATGTGAGAGGTTAAGCAGTAGCCCATGATGAGTGGGAAGCTCAACATGTGGATGTGAGAGGTTAAGCAGTAGCCCATGATGAGTGGGAAGCTCAACATAAGGATGTGAGAGGTTAAGCAGTAGCCCATGATGAGTGGGAAGCTCAACATAAGGATGTGAGAGGTTAAGCAGTAGCCCATGATGAGTGGGAAGCTCAACATAAGGATGTGAGAGGTTAAGCAGTCAGGTGCAGCACAGGATGATGCCCAGGAACCGAGCATCATGTGTTGGCTCTACATTTATGGAAGCCTTATTTGATGGCTGGGAATGCCCACGCTCAGCTCCCGCCTTCTGTTGAGGAAGACCAGTCTGCACACAAATAAGGCTATGTCATGTCCCACGAAAGTAACCAGGAAGGCTAACCCGGTGAACAAATTGCTGATGAAGTCAGAGATGTCAGCCAACAGGCAAAAATACTATATCTATGCCATAAGCAGGCACAACACAAATTACATAACTCAGACAAACGATTAAGAAGTAGTAGATGTTGTTTGCACCATGCAAAAGTCATCTAATACATTTGAAAGCTGTTATTTGTCATATTTCACATGCTAAAGTCACACTCAGGAATTACTACTCAAATTATGTTTAAATGAAATATTACTTTTCATACAATTAGACACTTTTCACTTGCCATAAGCTGATATTCAGAAGGAAATATTAATGTTCAAACACCTATTATTTTCTCTACCAACATAATTTTCTCGAAACACGTATTCAGCACTTGGGTAATTACTGCCAACAGTATAATCTACTGAAAGACAAATGGGAAAGAAAAAAGAAACATGCAGATCCTTTCCTGACCATTTTAGGCAGGACTGATTTGGAAGGCAAAGTCATTATCAAAACAATCACCTTCAATGTAGAACTGAACATATAACCACAACATGGTGAGACGACATGCCAGCCACAATAGACATAAACCTCCCAATTACAACAGTAGGATTTTGACTCTACTCACATTGTTCTTTGCCCGGAGGAGTAGCCATTACTGTTTCTTTTCTTCACTGCCCCACTGATTGAAAGCAGCAGAAACAAATTAGCATTAAAATAAAAGAATGTTAAACTCATTTTCAGCGAATGAATGAATTAATAAAAAAAACTGATATCACTGCACTTGGAACATTCCCATACATGCTCCATCCTCATTTTCAGTAACCAACAAAGAGTTGACATGCTAGCAGTACCATCTGCAACCTGATTAAAAGTCTAAAAACTCCTTTTAAACTCCAAAAAAAAATCATAAGAACCAGACAACTGTCAATTCTCCTTCAAACAACACATGGAATTATTGTATATGAAGCAATATACCACATGATGTTAACTGCTTGGTTTTCCAATCAGACCCACAAATCATCAAATGCTGGTTATCCAATCATCTCTGTTTGCCCATAAATCATGAAATGGTTATCCAGTCATCTCCGTTTCCCCAAAATTGATCAAATGTTGGTTTTCCAATATTTGTCTGACCCAAAATCATCAAATGTTGGTAATCCAATATCTATCTGACCCCAAATCATCAAATATTGAATATCCGAGCATCCGTTTCTCCACAGATCATCAAATGTTGCTTACCTGTTTCCAAATATATCATCAAATATCAATGCCCAAAAACACAATATTTTTACTACCCTTAACAAATCTTGTCTTGTAACCTACATTTTCTACTTTGTTTACATCAATATTAGTCTTGTAACCTACATTTTCTACTTTGTTTTCATCAATATTAGTCTTGTAACCTACATTTTCTACTTTGTTTTCAACAATATTAGTCTTGTAACCCACATTTTCTATTTTGTTTTCATCAATATTAGTCTTGTAACCCACATTTTCTACTTTGTTTTTATCAATATTAGTCTTGTAACATACATTTTCTACTTTGTTTACATCATTATTAATCATCTTCTGTTATGTCTTCTTCTTCCTTTATTTTGAGTACCTTGTAACAGGTCACTTCAGCATTCTATAGCAGCGCTCTGAGAACCTGTACCGTAGAACTCCCACAGTGAATATTACTTCTACAGAAAGACACCAGGTGTCAGAAACATCATATTAACAAGTAAAGGAACCTCTTCCACCCCTTCAGGCATATATGGCTAGATCTATATTTTATAGGGCCAATCGACACTTGGTGGCTGATGTGGTCACCATCACGTCTGCCGCTTTTACCTCCTAGGACTCTCCCTGGTACCCACTCAAGGCTGGGTCGACCTGGGTGCCAAGGTTATTTTAAAAATCCAATTCCCTAGCAAGCATCTAGCAACAACATCATGACACACCTCCCCCCCCCCCCCCCCCCCCAACATCATATTAATTACCCAATATTCCCCATGTGGGTTCCGTGGCCCAACATTCCTTTTGGGGGAAAGGGGGGGGGGGGGAATAGAAACCCCCCCCCCCCCCCAAGAAGTATGTTGTTGTAAGTCAACTAATTATGGGTGTTTCCTTCAAAGTCCGAGAGCATCTGCCTGACAGGCAAGAAACTAGCAGTCTGCTCACAAATAAGCCAGATCTGTAAAACTGATGTGCAGGCAAAACTCAAGTTCTGGAAGAAAAAAACTTAATCCAGAAGTGGACGGACAGCCAGAGTTTACAGTCAGTGAATGCAAAGAAGAAAGAACAATGAACCCAAAAAAGGTAAATGGCAACATACATTGTGGTGGAGTCATTACTGGCCAGGTTGATGCTGAATCTGGCAGCTGCAAACAGATAAAAAGGAGACTTGAAATATAAGGACATTCTTTGCAACTTATTCATCAGCACAAAGCTATGTAGCCTGAGAAAGATAAACCTCACAGAACAAATCTGTACAATCTAGCGTTAACTTTAACTCTACTTCGTGTTATATTTTGCTCAATCTTATTATGCGCTAGAGTTATCACTCCTGCTAAATCTGCAACTGGGTTGCATATAACAGCATAATTGCTGAGATGTCTAAAAATATTGTCTAATCAGCTTATATAATTGTTGATACATCATACACACACACACGCAGGCACGTGCGCACATATAGAGATACAAAATGGCCTAAAGAGCATACATAATTGCTGATATGTCCTAAAATGTGGTCCAAATAGCCTACACACCTGTTAATATATTCTAAAATATGGTCCAACCAGCTTACATAATTGTTGATATAACTTAACACATGAACCAATAAGCTTATATAATTGTTTACATTAAAAAATAAAAGGGCCGAATCAGCTTTTATAATTATTAATATTTCCTACAACATCATCCAATCATCTTACATAATTGTTGATGTATTCTAAAATATTTTCCAGTTAGCTGACACAATTGCTGATGTATTAAAAAAAATATGACCCAGTCAACTTAAATAATTGTTCATATGTCCAAAAATATGGCCCAGTTAGCTTTTATAATTGCTGATATATCCAAAAATATGATCCAGTCAGCATATATGATTGTTGATATGTCCAAGCTATATTGTCCAGTTAGCTTATATATTTGCTGACGTCCAAAAATATGGTCCAGTTATAATTTAAATTATATAAATCAGCTTATAATTTTTTTTATAACTTAAAATGTGAACCAATCAGCTACATAATATAATTCACATTCAGGATGAGTGAGCATCTACAAATCTGTAGCACGATTATTGTAAAAATGTAAACAGTAAGCAGCAACTGTAAAATCACTACTACAGCAATTGCAGTTACTTGGCAGATTGATCACTAAAAGTTTGTGCAGTTACAGTGATAGACTGATCTCTATAAATGCTGTGAAGTTACTGTGATAGACTGGTCACTATAAATGTTGTGCAGTTACAGTGATAGACTGATCACTAAAAGTTTGTGTAGTTACTGTGATAGACTGCTCTATATAAATGCTGTGAAGTTACTGTGATAGACTGATCTCTATAAATGTTGTGCAGTTACTGCGATAGACTGTTCTCTATAGATGTTGTGCAGTTACTGTGATAGACTAATCACTATAAATGTTGTGCAGTTACTGTGATAGACTGATCACTATAAATGTTGTGTAGTCACTGTGATAGACTGATCACTATAAACATTGTGCAGTTACTGTGATAGACTGATCACTATAAATGTTGTGCAGTTACTGTGATAGACTGATCATTAAAGGTTTGTGCGGTTACTGTAATAGACTGATCATTAAAAGTTTGTGCAGTTACTGTGATAGACTGATTACTAAAAGTTTGTGCAGTTACTGTGATAGACTGATCATTAAAGGTTTGTGCAGTTACTGTGATAGACTTATCACTATAAATGTTGTGCAGCTACAGTAATCACTAACAAGTTTGTGCAGTTACTTCAACTTTTTTCTAATAAGAATAGATTGCAAGTAGCTGCAAAAGCTACAGTAAATAGCAGCTTGCCCTCCAAGATTGGGGCTGGGATTCAATTAATTCACAGCAAAGACAATATTGTTTCCTCCCCCCCCCACCCCCAACAAATATGGTTCTGGAATTGACCCATTCTCACAAAAACTGTTCCAGACAACCAACCAACAAATAAACAAAAGTGAACATAACAAAAGCTTATAAAAATAGAACAATTTAAATTTCTGGGATATGTCTGAGACAGAAGGGTGACCGAGAGACAAACTGACCACCCATCTCAAATGTTATGACATGATATATGTGAAGCCCTAAAATTTCATAAACCAAAGGCAGCAAATGTAAAAATCTACCTAGCAACTGTCTGGGAAAAGCTATTCATTATATTAGAGTTCCTGTGTAGAATCTGGGGGCCCTATTATAGGGAAAACAAGAATAGACCCACTGCCTACCCAAAAGCATGTCGTAAGAGTTGACTAATAGGAAGTTTCCTTTGAAATTGGAGTGCATCTGCCTGAGATGCAAGGAACCAGCAATCTGCATATAAATGAGATCTGTAAAACGGAAGGATACACAACACTCAGGTTCTGGAACAGGACTGCCGTCCAGAAGTGGATGAACAACCAGAATTTTCTGCCAGAGTGTACAGCTGGTGAACTCAAAGAAGAAGAAGAATACATTAGAAATATGAGCTTTTCAGGAAAACATGGTACATCTATATATGTTTGAAATGAAGTGAAATAACTTCTACGAGCACTATACTTCTTTATCTATTCTGCTTATGCTGTAAAGTGTCACAGAGAAGAGCTAGATGTGGTTTTCTGTCTTCTGTTAGCTGCACAGCTTGTGTTAATGTCATACTGCACTTCAGCTCTGTCTCTTTTTACTCCTTCTATCTAGCTCTTTCTTGAAAAACACTAAATAAATAGATTTCATACCTAATACGACTGAGAACATTTTGACGCTAAAAAATACTGAGAACATATAGGTGTGCCTAAAGCAACCCAAAAGAATTAAATTCTACACACATCAAATACCAAAGCACTAGTGATAATAAGTCAAATCTAGAGGATATAATTTATGGGCGGAACAAAAGTGAAATGGCATCAATGTTTTAAATAAAAATAAAAAAAAAAGCTATTTTCCCAAGCTTGCATTAAAATTAAACATTTAAGACACCAGACTAAAACTGAGAAACAAAATAAATGAAAGTTGAAAGATTTAAAAAAAAAACAACAACAACTGCCAACACCTCAATTGCTGTCCAGAAACTATTTCAAGTTGTCATAAATTTGTTAACAGAACCAGAAATAATTGAAATGCTACCACTTCTCTTGCAAACAAAGTACAATTTAAATAACAGCATCATTTTCAAACGAAACATATGAATTTATTGTTACAGTAAGTATCAACTGGAGAAATGTCAAAATTGTTAGAAACTTTTTTCAAACACAGATTTCACAAACAAAAGAGATACTTCGCAAAAAGAAAGCAGAAAAAAAAAAAAAGATATTATTTCTCTATGAAAGCCATCTGAATGAACAATTCTTTTTTCTTCGCACTTACCAGCGAAAAGTTCTGTTGTATCGTCCATTTCTGAACATTAGTCTTGTTACAAAACTTGAATGTTGCATGCACATGACATCCGTTTTACAGATCTAGCATACTTGTATCTGTATTACAGATCTAGCCTACTTGTATGCAGACTGTTGGTTCCCCACCTATCAGGCAGATGCGCTCTAATTCTGGATGAAAAATCCCTAGTTAGTCACTTTTAATGACATGCTTTACAGGGAGGCAGTGGCTGTTGTGACTTTTCTAGGCAAATTTTACATTCAGTAGTTTGCCATTGCTTTCTAAACGGTCAGCTCTCAGTAAAACTGCCGAAACCAATGCAAAATAAATAATCTGCAGCTGGGATCGAACACAGCTCCCCGGCATTATGAAGCTCGTTCGCAATGACTAAGCTGCTGACTCTTCTTCTATGTTTGACCTCAAAAAGGTGAGTGCCACATTGTGTTGCAGTTTACAGCTAAGCTCCTGGCCCCAGCACATCTGATTTCAGTGAATCCTCAATTGGTCCCTTTTCCCACCATGCTTGTTAAAGGGCAGTCGGTATATTCTTGTTCCCCCACCAAAATAGGACCCCAGAACCCATTCAGGGATTTTGTTAAACACCTGAGCAGACCACATTTCCTTCTCCCTCTTCTTTGTTCACTGGCTGTAAGCTCCAGCAGAAAGCACTGGCTGTAAGCTCCAGCAGAAAGCACTGGCTGTTTGTCCATTTGGATTTTGGCTTCATGCCAGAGCCTGAGTTTTGTGTGTAAATCTGTTTTACTGGCTTATTTGGGTGCAGCTAGTTGTTCCCTGCCGTTTGGGCAGATGAAATCTGACTTCGAAAGAATTCCCCAATTAGTTGACTCCGACATGTCAGTTGGGGAGGCAGTGGGTCTGTTTATGTTTTCCCCACAATTTGGCCCAGGAACCCACACGGAGCCCCATATTTCCAATATGCAAAACTGAAGCAAACAAATGTTGAGTTTAACCACACAGCTAATAAAGGAACTTGTTAACAAAGTCACACACAGGTAAGGAACACATGAGGAGTTAATTGGAAATCATAGTTCTCTAACCACTCAAATCACCGATGCTCGAGAAAAGTTAATGTACAGGTTAGTGAAGGTTAAACAATGTTTGAGCAGAACACGAGAGGCAAGCAGACGTGAAGTGACCTTTTCCAGGGCTGGCAACTGGAGAATGTAAACCCAGCGGGTGGAATGCAGAGAGCGGGGCCTGGCCATTGACATGGTTCCTTGCGTATCCTGCTAGATGTTGCAGAAATTATGGGAAATACTAGCGAGGTCTCAAGCATAAAATGGTTTACATGCATATGTTGACATATTTGAAATGGTTGGCATGTAAAAATGTAGTGTGTTAAATAAAACACAATGACATGTGTGTAAATGTAGAGTTCATAAATAAACATTTATTTTTTTTTATTTTTAAGGAGAGTCCTTGAATATAAAGAAAACAGAGGTATTGGTTGTATCAAAGAAAAGAATACCACCACAGTGAGATATTAGAATAGATGGTAAAAAGTTAATCCAAGTCGATAAATTCAAATATCTGGGTACAAGAAGTGTCAGAAATTAAGAGCAAAATAGGCAGGGTTAACATTGCATTTCACAGAATGAAGAACATCTTGTGCAACATGTCCCTCTCTCTTTGGATGTCCAAAAGAGAAATTAGAATGGTATGTACAACCTATATTGCTGTAATGTAGTGAACCATGGAATGTGAATGCACAAATTAGAAAGGACTTGGAGGCGACAGAAATGTGGTTTTTCAGACGAATGTTGAGAATCCCTTGGACTGCCAGAGTAACTAACGAGGATTGCTTGAAGGAAGCTAATAAAAGCAGATCAATATATACAGCTATAAGGAAAAGACCAGCACAGTTCTTTGGTCATGTGATAAGGGAAAGGCTTTGGGGAATATTGTGATGACTGGGAAGATCAACAGCAAGAAAGGCAAACTAAGAGAGAGATGATCATGGATGGACTGCGATGCTGACATGGAGGGACATCATCGGTGTAATCTAAAGGACAAAGATCTTTGGAGATGCATGAGCACCCATGCCAGTCGCAGGGCACATGATAATAATGATAAATAAAACTGGCTGACATGTATAGAACCATAAGGCAATAAGCAAAATAGACTGATAAGTTCAAATCTGGCTGAGTGTAAAGCAAAATGGGTTTGCATGAGAAAACTGGGTGAAATGTGTCAATCTGGTTGACAAGTGTAAAGTAAAATGGGTTGGCATGTGTAAAACTGGTTGATAAATGTGAACCAAAACTGGCTGGCATGTGTATATCTGGCTAACAAGTGTAAAGCTGGCTGACATACACAATGTTCAACACTAGGGTAATATAAAACTATGAGGTGAAAAGTGTAAAACTATGAGGTGGATAAGCGTAAATCTATATGGCAGATAAACAAAAACTAAAATATGAGGCAATTATGTGTACAGCTATAAATGGGTAATGTAAACCTATGAGTTGAATAAATATTTAGAGCTCGGAACTGGACAACTGTAAAACTATGAGATGGATGATATACATTTAGTTCTTAAATCAATAAATGCAAAATTTTAAGGTGGATAAATGTAAAAAAAACAATGAGGTAGATATATATTCAGAGTTCTAAACTGGATAAATGTAAAGCTTCCCAACAATTTGCTAAGCAAATAAAATGAAAGAAACAATAAATATCAGTGTGTGAAAGGAAAAGGAAAAAGCCAGAGAGACTTTCACAAACAGTGCCCAGGAAAACAAAGATTGATTTCAACTTACGGTCTTCATTACAGTGCAAGTAAAAGGGTAAACAATAAGCTGTTTAGATATATTGTATAACAATATGCTATATTGACAACATAATGCAATAACAATAATAGAATAATAATGCAGTCACAATGCAAAAATAAAATAACAACAGTATACAACTATATAACACTAAAAGTCTTTAGCAATAACACAGAATAAATAATATATACAAGGGCTATTCCAAAACCAATTTCCAATTAGTTGGTAAAAATACCGCTCCTTAATGTAGGGTAAAAAAAAAAAAAAAAACTTGTGCCATGATCTGACAAGTGCCTGAATTTAGATGGTGACTATGTGGAAAAATGATGCAGTGATGTATGTAACTTTTGTATGTATTTAGATGTTAATTTGTTTACATTTTTACCAGCCAATCTTAGGCTGACTTTAGAATAGCTCTTGTATATCATATCTTCTTTGTATTCACTGGCTGTAAACTCCCGTGGAAAGTCCTGGTTGTTAATCCAACTGTGGACTTTGGACTTATTCCAGAGCTTGAGTGTTGTATGGTTATCTGTTTTACAGATTCATTCATGGGAAAAACATGCCATGGACCACGTAGCAAGAAGAGGTAAAATCACAAGAGCTCAGAAGAAGCATGTTAATTTTATTTGACCGCAACAATGGCCACAAAATCAATTTTCCAACTGTGGAAGGCACTTCTTCTTCTTTGCCATTGGTTTCGTATGCTCAGGTCAGACAGACCATCAAGTGGGTTGCGTCTATGAACTCACATGTCAGCTGCAGTTCCTGCATGGCTCCTCAAAGCTTGCTCTCCACACTTTGCTCTTGAAGCCATATTTCTGTTCAAAGTTGCAGGTAGAGTGGGCAGGTCTGCAGAATGTGCTCAAGTGTTTGTGGAAGGCGTTTCTTATAGTGAGCTGGTCTTGCTAGTCACACTTGTTATCACCATAGACTGATTCCCCTACCTTTCTCTAGCACAATGTTACACAATCACATGGAATGATAGAAGCTGCCAACAACAAGAAACAATCAACCTAAAGTTACCAACTATGACCCCAAGTGGAAGAACCAGCTACGACTTCAAGTAGAAGACGAAACAAATGTGTCACTCACCCAGTGCGCTGACATTAGATGTATAGCCAACTGGACCATCTCTGCTCCCTAGAGCCCGCGGTGTCCCGGAGTCGGACAAGGCTCGGGGAGACAGGCTGCTTTTTGCCGAGGTCAGAGATTCTGTACTACTGCTGGTGCTGCTCTGAATATCAACACCTGGCAGATGTGGGTGATAGAATGAGTTATATGTGGGTGACAGCATGAGGTATATGTGGTTGACAGTATGAGGCAGATGTGGGTAACAGTATGAATTATATGTGGTTGACTGTATGAGGCAGATGTGGGTGACAGTATGAGTTACATGTGGCCGACAGTATGAGGCAAATGTGGGTGACAGTATAAATTATTTGTGGTTGTCAGTATGATGCAGCTGTGGGTGACGTATGAGTTATATGTGGTTGATAGTGTGAGGCAGATGTGGGTGACTGTATGAGTTTATTTGGGAGTTTTCTCAATATGGATTTTTAAGTGGGCACGATAGTTCTGGTGATTTAAAAGATCTCACCAAAACTTATATTTATGAGAGCAAAGCTAGCGGCTGCCATCCCAATACTAGCATAACTATACAAATCTGGTACTCCTACCTCCTATATTAGTTGTAACTGGCTGGATTGGCGGCCTCTGTTTTAACCTTGTAGTTACAGAACTGGGTGGCCCTATGGGTTGGCTTGCATAGTTTCGAGATGGCTGGGTCAATGCTGCATGGTTGACAGTCTGTCCAGCTAACACCCGAACTGAAGGCTCGTTCTGATTGGCCAAGGCTCCTGGGGCTAATGGAGGCTTGCCCGTTGAATGGTTGGTGTTTGGAAGAACTCGAGATTCGCTTACATCTGCCCCATCTGGTGGGTTTTTAAAAATCTGAAAGACACATAACGTGATGAATATTAATAAAGTTAGTTACAATCCCATTATCAGATTTCGCAAGCCAGCTGCAGAACTTGTTGGCTATTTTTCCCATGTGGCATTGGGGCCCCAGTTAGCTTAGTTGTGTATCCTTTACAGGATGTTGCAGAACAAAACCCTAAAGTGATTTTTCTAGGCAATTTTATGTCCAGTAGTTTGCTATTGCTTTCTGGACGGTCGGCTTTCTTGATACCACTGTCGAAACTAATGCAAGGTGCATGGCCCACAGCTGGGATCGAACCCGGCATCCCAGCATTACGAAGCGTTCGCATCGACTTAGCCACAGAGCCGACAGGGCCCCAGTATAAAGGGAAAAATCCCTTAACAAGCATGTCACAAAAGACAACTAATTAACATTCTTCTGACATCAGATGTGTTGGGCCAAGAGGTGGAGATATCACAGCCTAGCTGTAAATCACAATGTAAGTCACTGACACGCATTTTGAGGGAGCTCAAAAGAAGTTAGCTATTCCTGGTTTTACTTGCCAATGCTTTGTAAACGGTCGATGCTGATATCCTTGTCAAAATCAACACAAAGCAATCTGTTTCCAAATCGCCTGTAGCTGAAAAGAACCCGGTAAGTCAGAATTATGAAACTGAGTTCAATACCCTTAATCCGCAGAGGCCGATAATGACAGCCAATTATAAACAAACAGTTGAAGTACTTAGAAAAATTGCTGCTGCCAGCAAGTAGCACAAACTTATAAAGCTGTGCTGGTACAAAGGTGATTGGGACTTGTGTTGTGGTTTACTGCTAGACTGTGATATCCACACCTTTCAGTCTAAAACTTATTTGAACAAAACCCTTATTAGTAGCCTTTTATGACGTTTGTTGAGAAGCATCACATCAACTCCCCCCAAAATTGGGCTCACGAAAAAGTCAAAAATTATTTGTAACGTCTGATGTATATTAACTGTTCATCATCCCTTAGTTCTGCATCGTCTATCCCTTCAAACTCTTCTGCGCAGGCAGTCTAGATCTCTGTAATCTGCCATTCTCTCCATAGGACCCAATCAGCATGCAGTCTAGATCTCTGTAATCTGCCATTCTCTCCATAGGACCCAATCAGCATGCAGTCTAGATCTCTGTAATCTGCCATTCTCTCCATAGGACCCAATCAGCATGCAGTCTAGATCTCTGTAATCTGCCATTCTCTCCATAGGACCCAATCAGCATGCAGTCTAGATCTCTGTAATCTGCCATTCTCTCCATAGGACCCAATCAGCATGCAGTCTAGATCTCTGTAATCTGCCATTCTCTCCATAGGACCCAATCAGCATGCAGTCTAGATCTCTATAATCTGCCATTCTCTCCATATGCTCCAATTAGCACAGTCTGAGGCCAGTTGTTAACAATTTAAATCAGCTATGAATTTACCGTTGCTTCTCACTCTCCATTCTCAGCCGTTTGCACCTATGATGGGTCAAAAATTCATCCCAAGTCTCTGTTACAGATTTAAAAAAAAAAACAACAACAACACACAGACAGAATAATAATAACCTCTTTGTAATTGTTGATGAGAATCTCTACAACGATGTTGCAGAACTTGATGTCCAAAACGGCTGCCATGGTTTCCTCCTCAGGCCTCATTAATGAAGGGCCGAAGCAGACGCCCAGGTTGGCTACAGTCATCTTGTTCAGGTCACTCTTGCTGGCTACCCTGTAAAAAAAAAACACACACACAAACATGGAGGTTTGCTGCAATGTAGCCATTGCTAACTAGGGGGGAAATTATTACTCCCCTTCCATTGCATGAAAATCATAAGAACAGTCTCTTCCTAAACTCGCACTATGGGAACTGAACCCTGGTAAAGGTAGAGATTTGCACTGTGAAATGGTTTCACTAACCTCTAAGCCCCACAGGCATAACCATGTAATTGTGTAACATCCAGCAAACACTGACACAAGTCATCAATATAAGCCCCGAGTGATCATACAGACAAGTCAAACAGATAGTATGGTGCTCTGCACAGAAGTAATGACACTAACAAGTCACACAGAGACAGTACGGTGCTCAGCACAGGAAAGATGACAGGGACAAGTCAATTGGACAAGAGTGATGACATGAACAAGTAACACAGAGACAGTATGGTACTCAGCACAGAGGTGATGACACAGACAAGTCACACAGACAAGAGTGATAACATGGACAAGTCACACAAAGACAGTATGGTGCTTACACAGGAGTGATGACACAGACAAGAGTGATGAAAAAGACAAGTCACACAGACAAGAGTGATGACACGGACAAGTCACACAGAGACAGTATGGTGCTCAGCACAGAAGTGATGACATGGACAAGTCACAAAAAAACAGCTGAACTAAATTAACACAATACAAATTAAAGCAAAGAAGCTCAGCGAAAGGAAAGACACAGTCACAAGTCGCCATTCCAACCAGTCTTTACCAATGATAGGAGTGGTTGGCCAAATTGTTACGAATGCTGGAAGACCCAGGTCTGATTCCTTGGTAAGTTGTTGCCTTCTGTCAGTTATAAAAAATCAAATCTCAACATGCACAGTCTGTGGCAACCCAAAGAGCCACGAGACCTTAAATCCTCAGTTTCAAGATACGATGCCAGACACTGCCCTAAAAGTGATATATACAAGCAGTAATTAAGTCTGGTTTTTTTTTAAAAACAAGCAAGAAGTAAAAAAATAATAATCGTAAACCACAAAAACAAATGCAAAAAAATTCTAGAAAAGTAACAGTTATAGTGAAAGAAATGGAACACTTCTTGTCTTCTGCAAGTGCCCTGCTAACTGGCCTGGATGATAAGGCCTCTCCACAACCCCTGTTCTACAGTATGTAAAGAAGGTTACATGATTTAACCTTTGCCTCACCTGTCAAGATGTGCTACTAACAAATCCAACATTTCAAAGTTTGCTTGTGGCAACTGATGCACATATTTATGCACGTCCAAGATCCTCAATGTCTTGCTCTCCTGCTCTGTAGGGAGCATAAACCATCATTTGTTAGTTAATACTTAATCAATCAATGATATGGGGTAAGAGTGATCACTTTCTAGATTACATGCCGGGGTTGGGGGGTCTATTTTTATCGCGCTTTGAAGGTCATGGGTTAGTTTCACATACTACATTGTTCGGTTCATGAATGTACTATTTAGAGATCCTTAGGATCATCGAGCCAGACTTTTCAAAAATGACCTTGACTGCCAGGTTGACCTAGCCTTGAGTGGGCAATGGGGGCAGTCCGGGGAAGTAAAGGCGGCAGGCGTGATGCTGACCACATCACCCATTTTGTGCCGATTGGTCTATAAAAATATAGGTCTACCCCTATATGAACATCCACTTCGATTCAATAATAACAATAACAAGGGAAAAATGCATATATGCACTGCAACTTTACAGATCTGGCTTTTTTATATGTAAATTGTTAGTTCCTTATCAGTCCGGAAAATGCACTGTGATCTGAAGGAAACACACCTAATTAGTCAAATTTGATGACGTCTTTATTTAATGGTGGCTAGAGAACAAGATGCATACACATGTCTTGTCGGCTCTGTGGCTAGGTCGATGCGAACGCTTCGTAATGCCAGGTTTTATCCCAGGTGCGGGCCATACGCCTTGCGTTGGTTTTGACAGTGGTGTCAAGAAAGCCGACCGCCCAGAAAGCAATGGCAAACTACTGGACGTAAATTTCCCTAGAAAAACCACACAACAGCCGGGGGCTATTGGGGTTGGTTCTGTAGTGTCCTGTAAAGGATACACATGTCTTAATTGTTACAGATTCTGAAAGCATGCTGAAAAAAGGTGAGAACAGGGATGCTTCGAGCAGAGTGGCTAGCTTCACTGGAAAGGTCACGTGCGGTTAGCATACTTTGGATCTTTTCTCTAAGCTATGCCGGCGTGGTGGGTAATGAACAGGCAGACAGATTGGCTGGATCCGCACCACTGGGTGGTGAATTGATACACGATAAGGCAGATGTGGTCAAGGCCCTTTGGAACAAGCAACAGAATCAGTAGAGAAAGAAGATTATTATGGCCTGGAGAGAATGAGGCACCTGGGTGTAACCAGAGAGCCTGTCATTCTCACTTCACTCAGAGGAAAGGCAAGACAGACTTTTAACCAGATTGTGACCAGTACCATCAGTATTGGAATTCTGCACTGGCTGCTGAAGATGAGGATAGAGCATGCATGGGAATGCCCCTAGTGCTGTGATGTCAATTCTTGAATCAACTCAACTATTTGTGGTTAAGGCACTGCAATTTCTGGGTGCCCGGTTCGATCCCAGCCACAGATAATCTGGTAGTAGACCGCCTTACATTGGGTTCGACAATAGTATCAAGATATGACTGTTCAAGGAACAATAGCAAACTACCGAACATGACACTGACTAGTAAAGCCACAAACAGCCAAAAAATGTTGAGGATGGTTCTGTGAAGTGCTGTAAAGGACACACCACTAACTTGTTGTTAGGGGACAGTGTGTTTATTCTTTTTCCCACCCAAAATAGGGACCCGTAACACCTGCGGGGAATGCATGTTGTTTAAAAGGTCAATGCTGAGGGTTCATGTGTAATACTGAGACTGAATACCTTACCTCACAGAAAGAGACAGAAAGAGAGAGAGAGAGATCAAGAAAGGGAGCAGGACACATATATAATGATAGGTAAACAAAGAAAAAAAAAACAGATATGGACAGAAAAAGAAAGCGAGGGAGCGGGACACATAGATAATGATTTCCTTCCTAACAAAAAAAAAAAAAAAAAAGGCCATATAAGTCAACTAACTAAACGGATGTGCAAATGGCACTCAGGTTCTGGAACAAGACTACAGTCTAGAGGTGGACGGCCAAACAGAATTTTCTACTGGAGTTTACAGCCAGTGAGTGACCGCAAATAAGCAGAAGAACAAGAAAAAGAAGACAGATAATGATGGACAAACAGAGACAAACAAACAAGGAGACACATAGCCATAGAAGAAGGACACAGGTGGCAACATCAAGCAACAAACACCTGCAGCACTTACTAGCAGCTTTGATAAAGCTGTCATGCAGGCGAAAAGTCATGAGGGGCTCAGGTAATGATCTGCAAATAGATGCCAAACTGGGTAGTAAAAATGTACGTTATTATCTTCTTCTATGACTAGATACAGATGAAACAGACCAACAAACTGGGTGGTACAAATGTTTATCACATCTTCTGTAAGACAAGACACCCATACAGTAGACAAATAACCTGGGTGGTACAAATGTATTTCACATCTTCTGTAAGACAAGACACACATGCAACACACCAACAAACTGGGTGGTACAAATGTTAATCACATCTTCTGTAAGACAAGACACCTATACAGTAGACAAATAACCTGGGTGGTACAAATGTATATCACATCTTCTGTAAGACAAGACACACATGCAACAAACCAACAAACTGGGTGGTACAAATGTATATCACATCTTCTGTAAAACAAGACACACATGCAACAAACCAACAAACTGGGTGGTTCATATCACATCTTCTGTAAAACAAGACACACATGCAACAAACCAACAAACTGGGTGGTACAAGTGTTTATCACATCTTCTTTTTTATATTTAAAAATCCATGAAGGGAAGTAATCCTTCAATATTAACGGACTAAAGAAATAATGGTTTCCTGCGGCCTGGCTTATCTGTATCCAGACTGTTGGCCTTGCCTCTCAGATGCACTCTGACTTCGAAGGAAGCCCCAAATTAGTTGACTTTTATTACATGCTTTTTGGGGGGAGGCAGTGGGTCTGTTCTTGTTTAGCGACAATGAGGCTGAGGAACTCACACTTAGAGAAAATCTGTTCCATTAGCTTTACTGTCATATAAGACAGATAGATTAGCAGATGACAGAGGATTAAACTTGGTACCAGTTACGGTGATGAAATGGTTCAGTGAACAACCAAAGTCTTGCTTCATAGATGGAATCCATTATTTGTCAAAGAAGCTTTATGTGGTCAAGGAACTTGGGAAGCAAGTAATTAATGCAGATATGCAAACAGACCATTACCGTGTGGAGAAAATGGTGCGACAGGGCATCTGTCTGAAACTCTGCATTCAGAGGAAAGGCACAAAGGGCATATAATCAAACTGAAGACGAGGACACAGCACATATGGGAATGTCCTAAATGCTGTGATGTCAGTTCTCACCTCAGCTAAAGCCACACAACACCCCCCCCCCCCCCCCCCCCCCCCCCCCCCCCCCCCTGGAAAATCCAAAAAGGGGAATAAGCGTCTGAATGGTCAAAGTGTCTCCTTCTGATGATCCCAGGCAAATATTAGCTTCTAACAGCTGCACATAATTAGAGACAAAGAGTTCAATGAGACATTATATAACTTCTTGTTACCTAAGGTAATTTTTAATAGCACTGGTGATTGTCTTTGTTTCCCAGACTGAGGGATCTTCAAAGCTGACTTTGTCTGCTTTCTTTGGATCTGCAACATACAAGTAAATTAGCATCAGAACATAGAATTTAATCAGCAATGGAGCATACAGCTAACAAATAGATTAACACTGGAACATAAAACAAACAATAAACTATCAACAGAATATAGACCAAACAAGTAAATTAGCAATAGTACATAAAAACAACATTAAAAAAAAAAAGTTATTCTTCAATTCAATATGATCAATCCATCTTCTGAGACAAGAAGATGTATTAACAGTAAAATCTGTAAGTTGGTAAATCAATCTAGACAACATGGTGTCCCCGCATGGATTCCTGGGTCCCATTGTGGGGAAAGTAAGAACAGACCCACTGCCTTCCCAACAAGCATGCCGTGAGAGCTGATTAATTAGGGGCTTTAATGGTTGACAGTTTTCAATACAGTAAGTGTGGCTCTGTGGCTTGGAGTTCAGTCAGATCATTTCACAATGCAGTCCAGAGTGTTTACTAGGGTTCGATTACTAGGTTGGGCCGGGGTAGAAAAGGACCATTCTTGTGGTATTGGAGAGTGGTATGACAGCTGCACAGTGGAATAGATTAGGCCCTCACCACCTAATATTCTACAGTTAGCAGTGGATTCACTGCAGCCAACAGCACAGTTTTCTTTTTCTTTCTGAAAAAATATACATATACATAGTAAAAGTGTACAAATGAAGCATGTTAAAAATTGTTAATGTCTTGGCTACACAGTCACATGGAAACCACCACAGGGTAGCGGCTAGACTCTCACCTGTGAATCCGAAGGTCGTGATTTCGGGTCTTAAGGGGGCCAGACTTTGTTTATTTCTTCAAAAATGACTCCCAGTTCGGTACAGCCTTAAATAGGCACTAAGTAAAGGCCTGGGAAGTAAACGTGGCCTGTATGATACTGACATCACCAAATGAGTGACATAAAATATAGCTTTAGCCCTATATACATATTGTGCCTGAAGGTGTAGAGAAAGGGGGCTTTACTTTACTTGACAGTCACATTAATTGAAGATATGATGCAAAGGCATAGAAAAGGCGTGATTATGATGGCAGAGGTATTAGAGAAAATATTATTGGAATGGTCACACACCCAGCACTAATTTCACACCCTCCCCCCGACTCTCTGCCCCACTTACCTAAGGCAACTTTCAGCAGGTTGTTGACTTTTGAGTTGACACCCACTACTCTGTACAGACCCTGTTCTTGAAGACCTGAAAACAGAGACTGTCACTTCTAGTAGCTTCATTATTATACATGTGTATGATTAGCATTATTACGCCCCCCACTTACTTAATGAGTCTATTTACTTTACTATATTATTATATAATATACTACTTTAGAATTCGTCGGCAGCTGCAGCTTAGGCACTGCAAACGCGCTTCGTAATGCCGGGTTCGATCCCAGACACGGAGAATTTATCTTGAGCTGGTTTTGACGGTGGCCGTTCAGAAGCAATGGCAACTACTCAACATAATTTGCCTAGAAAAACCACAACAGCCAAAAAATGCTGGGGTTGGTTCTGTAACGTACTGTAAAGGATACACAACTAACTAACTTTAGATGTCAAGTATAGGCACTTACATAGTAAGTGAATGCACAGAGGTATGTGGCTTGAGAAATCAATAAAACAATGAAAGAAAGTTCTAAAAATTAACAGTAATAGTTTTAGTACTAATAATACAAAAGTGGGGAAAAAGGAGCTTAAGGGAAGAAAAGATAAATCTTATTTTTAAAATCTTCACAGCTGACCTATGTATCAGATTCCTCCACTCTGCATCACCTCTTAAATATGATCATAAGGTTGGAAAGAACTTCATTTCAGGTAATTTATACAACAAACAATGGATCACCGCTTCAGACAGAAGCCATGATGATTAGCTGCTGGCCTACAACACTGTGCAAACTGGAAGACATGTTGGTCAGTCTTTGATTAGCCTGGTAGTGAAGGAGGTTATTCTTGAGTGTCAGTGTCTATGTGTGTTTTCAGACTAAAAGGTCTCATTTGTCTTCTTTATTTCTGCCGCATTTAACCAGATGAGATACCGTGAAATACGCCAATTTGTTCAAATAATCTTTATTTTTCTCTTCTGCATTTAACCAGATGAGATACCGTGAAATACGCCAATTTGTTCAAATAATCTTTTTTTTTTCTCTTCTGCATTTAACCAGATGAGATACCGTGAAATACGCCAATTTGTTCAAATAATCTTTTTTTTTCTCTTCTGCATTTAACCAGATGAGATACCGTGAAATACGCCAATTTGTTCAAATAATCTTTTTTTTTTTCTCTTCTGCATTTGCCGGTCTTGAACTCTAGTGGAAAGTCCTGGTTATTTGTCACTTTCTGAACTCAAGTTTTTTTTCCCCAATAATGTGAGTAAATCTGTTTTACAGATCAGGCTAATCTGTGTGCAGTCATTGTCTCACCTCTCAAACAAATGCATTCTTTAAAGGAAACATTAATCATAGTAGGGAACCTGTTTCTAGGAGAACCACAGAGCGATGCAGATAAGTCTTGATCAATACAAGCCCGAGTCTTTGAGCAACAGCATTTCAAATAATAAATCTCCACTGTTTTATGTCATGTATTGTAAGTCGTTCTCACAATCTCTGATGTGTCAGTTTCCACAGCAGATGTTTTATAAAAAGACTGGCAAAATTGTATTGGTTAGACCCTCAGTAATCACTAAAATAGAGCTTTGGGACAAAACCAAACAAGTTCTAGTGGACCAAGAGGTGTAGAACGTTGGATAGAACAAATCTGAGAACAATATAACTAGAATTTCTGTGCACAGAAGTAAATGATGACCACACACACAAAAAAACATGGCGACGGGAGCTAGAGAGTGAAGTTAAAAAAGACAGTGAGGACATGCAATAATAAAGGATAGAACAACCCGTCGTTAGTTGGTTGAGGTCCTATGCTTCATTGGGAGCTAGAAAGGCAGAAAAAGAAGAAGATGACGAAAAAGACCCTCAGTAGGGGGCAAAGTGAAGATCCTAATCTGCACAGTTCGTGGCAACCATACTAGCCATGTGGCCTTAAAACCTCAGGTTCATGACCCCCTCTCCCACACCCCAAAATGGTAAATACAGGCAGTAAAGATAGTTCCAGCCTGTGGTATGAGAGTCACACCATGGAAGAGATTTAGGTCTAACCACATAATTTTTCCACGACAGCAGTGGATCTAGTACAGCCAACCTCCCAATTAAATGTTTAGATGATATACAATTTTGATGACATCTGTAGTTTTTCTTACACTGTAGGAACCACTTACACAGCAAATTAAAGTCACCATCAAAGTGATATCACCATGAAGAGCCGTGCCACCAGTGTTTCTGACAAAGTCCAGTAATAACAGGCATACTAGGCATATAGACCTATATTTTATAGACCAATCGGCCCTGTGTGGGTGATGGGGGGTCAATATAACGCCAGCCGCCTTTATTTCCCAGGAATTTATCTGATACCCATTTAAGACTATGTGGACCCAGTGACATGACAACAAAAATAACAGAGAAGAAGTCTTCGACAGGCAAATAAAAATGTGTGCTGTTCTGATTACTGAAAACATGATCCTAATATTTTAGTACTAATATATACTAAGTGACATATAACTGAGCTTCTTTGATTTTAAAACTATAATCAACAACAAGATATAAAACTGACCTCTGCTCTCAATTGCTGCAATAGACTTGCGAATAAAATTGAATCCGATCTCGTCCAGCATGGCTGACATGAAACAGAGAGTAAACAAAAACATAAAGTTACCATCAGGTAGCTGTCCTGACAGAAATTATATAGCACATAGTGCTTACATTGTTGTGTAATAAGTCAAGTAAAAAGTCAAAGGATCCCTTTTACATCAGTGGCTCATCCGGATGCTTTGATGCTGGACTCATTTTTATAGACCAATCATTACTCAGTGGGTAATGTGGTCAACATCAAGCTGGCCCATCTTAAGTTCCCAAACATTACCTGGTAACCAATTTAAGCTGGGCTGACCAGTTAGACAATATTCTGACTTGATGGAGATTTTAACTCAAGACCTTCAGCTGGTAGGCGAGTGTCTAGCCACTGCGCTAGCTCTCATATTGTGTTAGTTTGTCCCATACATTGAATATGTCTTTTCCTCACGATTTCATAGACAGACAGGCAGTTATTCAAAGTTCCAACATGCAGATGTAACCACATAATTCCTCAATTCCGGTCTCAATGACAATCACATCAAATGTCCTTCACTGTCTCAGGTGAAAACTAATAAACAATTTGTTAGTCCCATCAAAAACTTGAAGCTTGCACAAGCAAAGTAAAAATACATAAGGCAGCTGTTAGATGTGCCAACATTAATTGTACATTACCAGAATTGCAGCTCACTGATGGCGCAAATGGTTTATCTTAAAGTTATGCTAGCTATAAAAGAGGTCCCAGGTTCAAATCCTGGATGAGCATCTATTTTATCATGAAGCTGTTGACTGCCTTAAAGGCAATGGCTTGTATGCAACTCCACGACAATGTTTCTATCTATCTACACACACAAAATGTAACACCTTCAGAGTATACACACTGGCTTTTAATGTAACTCCAAAAAAAAAACAACATAAAGTTTACCTCAGAGGTGGCTCGCATTATCAAACCTGCCGGAGTGTCATAAAATCGCCACCTATACATTAGCCTGATTGCTGCTTTAAGGGGCTAACCGGGTTCAAACCAACAGCCTCAGATACAAGCTCTTTTCTGAGCTCCTCCAATATACACCTAAACCACTGCGATTTGCACGGCCCTAGCCAGTGGCAACGAACCGACAGACGTGGAAAGCTATGACCTCTGCCCTATGCGCCATCTTTGGCACAAGAGGAATAACTAACTAACTAAGCCAGTGTGCTTAGACAGACCATGTCACTGAGCTTGTTTACCTCAGCGCAACCCTATGACACAGCTCTCTTCTTCTTCAAAAGCAATACCACTCAAGTAACCACCTTGTTACAAACATACAAATAATAGGGCGACAAGTGATCCAGCAAATATTATTAATAACATCAGACACTACCACTAAGCAACATATTAAGTTGAACTGGTGATGCGGTCAACATCATGCCAGCCACCTTTACTTCCCAGGACTTTACCTGGTACATATTTAAGGCTGGGTTGATCTGGGAGCCAAGGTAAATTTTTTCCATCAGTACCTGAACCTACTACCTTTACATCCATAGGCAAGCATTAATTACTAAGGTAATTATAAAAGATAATTGTAAAAAACCTAATACTCACATTCTTCAGTTTTCAAATTATGCATCGGGTATGTCTGGAAAACAAAATAATATATCAAGGAGATCAGGGGTTGTCAGAATGTAGAAAGTAGTCATGGTGAAATAAAAATACATCATCATTATGTGCTAACTTTATGATACTGGTTGCAATAAAGTCTTCAAAACTTATCCAGTGTCTCCAAGGTGCAATAGGCCTCTGCCAGTCATTCTCTGGATGTTGTCTAACTGATATGTAACATCATCTTCTTGAATACTTTCTTGTGCTCAGCTTTTCCCCAACAAGACATTCCTCTAACAAGGATATGTTTCTCTTTATGTAAGAGAGCATTTTATCAACATGTTTTCCATCCTGCATAAGTCTATGGTGATGCTTTTCCCCCTGTACTAACTACAACCTTAGTCAGAAGATACAACAGTTCCCAGATAAATGAACTGATCCATCTGTTTAAAGTTAAATGTGGGTTCTGAGGCCCCACTAGGAAGGGGTTGGGAGAGGGGGGACCCATGCCCCCCAACAAGCAAGATGTAGAAGATAAATTATTAGAGATTAGCTGAAATCAGATGTACTAGAGCCAAAAGCATGGATATCACAGCCTAGCGGTAAACCATAACACAACTTTCCAAACCCTGTTTTAAATGGCAAACATGGAAAGAGTTCACCGGCTGTTAACTCTGGTAGAAAGTTCTGATTGTTTGTCCACTTTTGAATTTTGCATGCCAATAAGTTTTACATATCCTGCTTACCTGTATGCAGATTGTTGCTTCCTTGTCACTCAGGCAGGTGCATTCCGACTTTGGGTGAAACATTTCTAATTAGCCACCTTTTGAACACGCTTGTTTTGGGGAGGGGTGCAAGTGGTCTATTCCACCCCCTCCCCCAACCCATACAGGGACCCCATAAATTCTGTTTAATAATGATTTTATTCTGACCCTAGCTGCTGTAAAAAAGACAGCATCCACTAAATACTGCAGATTCTCTTCACTGTCTGCAATCAATATACAAGGTGAGCAAAGGTCAAGTCGGGTAACCTTTGGATGTACAACAGGGGTTGTGGAGAGGCTTCATCAACCACCACATGCTATGTTCAATTATAGGGATTACTCTCATGTCTTTTAAATTTACCTATCTTCATCACATGTACACAAAATTCAAGATAGGCGTATCAGCCATGTGCACCTGTGCAAAGGTGCCCCAGACAGCAGAGCATGTACTTCAGGACTGCACCGAATTTGACACATTAAAGCAAACCTTTTGGCCAAGAAGAACAACAGTGGAACGTAAACTCTATGGACCACTGAATGAACTAACAACAACAGGGAAATTTATACAAGAGACAAAATTGCTGATATAGACAACTTATTTCAGGTGAACGAAAGAAGAAGACCTATCTTTATTATGTAGAAAAAAACAACAACAAATGAAGACATCACACATCCCTGTCGCAAAACTGTTCTCTATTGGCCAGTACAAACCTACTCCCCTGTCAATTCCTTGGACAGCATGTTGTTTCCAAAGTAAATTCTTTGGAAGTCTAATATCTATCCCCTCAATTCAGAGGTTTGCAATATATCTATCATCTTACTCAGTCTTAAATCTTTGTGTAGTCAATGAAGCAAAAATGTAGATCATTTACTTCTATCAAATTCTCTATTAATCTTCTCAGCAAATAAATAACAATCTTGATTGTATACATACTTGAATTTTATGCACAATCATTCCCAATTATTTAAGATCACAGAACTACAAGCACATATTCTGAACACAGAAACCAACCGGTTCTTTGCCATCCATGGCATCTAACCACAACCGCCGGTCCTCTTCTGAGAGAGCTTGAAAGGTGAGAGGTCCAGATCTGGGTGGAAGAGAGATTAACAATAATAATGTTCAAATGTTCAACTGTTATTTTTAAAAAAATCATAAGCTTCAGCGAAGCTGTTAAAAAAAGTCATGACTGCAGTAAAGCGAATACCAAGAAGGTAATCCAGTGAGCTGCGACTAAAATGCTGAATGAAATTGGAAAGCAGAACAACATGCATAAAATAATACAAATCAACGTTTTGCAGGGGCCTTTATCAACATAAACTGAACTACACAACAATAACAAAAGGGGAGAGTATTCCAAACACTGAGGGGTCACATAAGGAACTATAACAAATGGTGAGGGGAAATTAATAAAATAAAAAAAAATATATAAAGGAAGGCTGGTAAAATAGTCATAAAGGTAATATTTAATAACATTAGGAATAAAAGAGTAGTAGAAATCCAAATGTTAATGATCCATGACTGGTACTGATAAGAGATAGAATAAAATAATAACATGAAATAAAGTAAAATAAAAAAAGCATATTTTTAAATAATAATAATAATGTGACAATAGTACCCAGAACATCTAGATTGTAGATGAGGCGCTTAGAAATCTGTTAGCTTCCAGTGAACAAATAAATCAGTCAATTATCAAAGAAATAACTTCAGTGCCCTCAGGGATTTCCGATATGTGCTCTAGCCTCCTCTTCTTCTTCCTGTGATAGCTTACCTGATAATCTTCATTAGTTTTTGAAGAATGTAGAATTAAGATTCCAGAGAAGGCTAATCCAGACAATAAATGCCTGCAGAAGTAAGATATTTCAGCCGAAAGGCACAAATATCACAAACATGCTGTAAACTGGCACACTGCATTTACTTCTTTGGATGAATGCAGAAGAAGAAGAAGAACGAATGAACAAGTGAACTTTATTTTCAAAGGGTTACAAATTAGGCATGCAGGCCTGTCTTAAATTTGGCCCTTCCAAACTCCCATATTTCATACAGAAGTTGTATTTCTTCAATAAAGCATGTTATGTTCATGTAATAATAAGCAGTTTATGAATATCAAGTCAAAAACAAAAGTATGGGTGGTAAAATATGTGCGCACACTCGCGCGCGAACACACACACCCATATACACACGCAAACCCATTCACTCACACACACACACACACATAGGCACTCAATACACACACATGCATCCACATACATACGAACATGCACACACATACATACATACATACACACACACACACACAAACACACAGTCTAATTAGGAATCGACTTCACAGCACACAGGACATTCCCAGAAGTGCCCCGTCCCTATCTCCAGTAGCATGCACAGAGTTGCAATTCCGATGGCACTATTAACAGTCCGATTACATATCTGTCTTGCCGTTTACTGAGTGATGAGCAGCAGTTAGATCCCCTTGCCGCTCCTCGCAACATCATTTTCCTCAGACTGCGATCATCTACTTGTACCTCAATACAGTTCACTAGCTCTCAAAGGACCCTTTAACATCTAGTTTGTCATGCATTATTTCATCACCAAGTGGTGCAGAACTAGCCAATCTATCTACATGTTTTTTTTCCAAAACACTGGCATAATGTTGAGAAAATGTCCAAAGGACGCAAACTACCTGGGACCTTTAAAGCCATGCCTGCCACCCAGCATGGAGCATATCTCTCTCTACCTTTCTCAACATACTCTGTGTCAGTTAAAATTATGACATGTATGTACAGATGGTTTTCAAGCAAGTGCATGGCTGCAGTGAGTGCCTCCACCTCCATTTTCAAACTAGATGTTGTGGTATCATTTGCACAGCTTTGCTGCACTAAGTGACATCCATTCACTTTTGCTATGAACCTCCATGCCCCTCAACAAAGTCATCAGTAAAGATAAATTTTGCACGCTGAGTATTGTTTTTTTCTTCTTCTTCTTTATGTCTTCTTTCACCGCTTTGGGTGTCGAGGGAGATATAAGGTCCTACTTCATGCTTCTCTGGCTGCTTTGACCACAGACACATCATGGTACTGTAGAGTTTCTCGACGTTATCTTTCTTTTTTGTTCTCGGTCTACCTCTTGCTCTACGTCCCTCTCCTCTTTTGGTATATGCCTTGAAGAGTATAGCATCAGAAGGCATTCTCTCCAAGTGGGCTTTGAGTGTTGCTTACTCCTCTTATATCAGTCTCACCAATCATGTATACTCTGTGCTGGCGTACAATTTCCTTGATCCCAGAGAGCCTTTACCTTGGTCCACTTCATTATAAAGCAGCCTGCCATTAACAGGATCAGTGGCAGTCAATCTATCAGCTTGTTCATTGTTCTGCACACCCATATATCCTGATATTCCATAACGCACGTCTCATCTGAGTTCTATCAACCTTCTAGCCTGGGTCATGACCATAAACCAGTTATAGTACACCATTACTATAAATCTGTATAAAATACCATCATCATCAAGTGCCTTGCAGGCTGGTGTAAGGGATCATGACTATCCACAACCTGCATTGATCAGTTCATGAGCTGATTCTCTTCCATGCCGTAACAGAAGATTTGTCAAGAAGCTTCTCACGATGTCTTAACCTATCCTCTTTCCACAAATAACTCAAGTGGCCACATATGTTCCAGTTTCTTTCTTCTCATAACAAAACCCCTTCCCCCCCAAAAAAATGATAACTGTGCATAACACATACTGCTGATAAAATTAAGCTAATGGAACTTACTTCTCTTTCAGTGTCACATCAAAACAAAACCTTCTCTCTATTGTATCCGATGCACGTCTGTAAACATGAAAGATAACAATAAGTTACAAAGTGTGCTCGTTAATTCAAGGTGCAGATAACAGTCAAGAGCTGTGGTAGCACAATAGTTAGACATGCTGGTTAAAGGTGTCGGGTTAAATCTGTATCACCAAGGCAGTTTTTCTATCTTTCAAAACTGACCTTGACTCCGAAGATGACCTAGCCTAACACTGACACCAGGTGAAATTCTGGGAAGTAAAGATAGCCAGCATGCTGTTGACATCACCCACTCAATGTCGACCCATCCATACAAATGCGAGTCTAGCATCAGTCCAATGACCGCTGGTGTTAAAAGAGTACTTTAACTGTTTACTAAAAGGTCCCTTTACCACGCCTTTAGGGCTAGACCTATATTTTTATAGACCAATCGGCACTGGGAGGGTGATGTGGTCAGCCTCACGCCAGCTGTTTTTACTTCCCAGGACTGCACCTGGTACCCACTCAAAGCTGGGTTAATGGGAGTCGAGGTCATTTAATAAAAAAACAAAAATAGTCAGACTCTGTCAGGACATGATCCGATCAGCAGGCTCGAGTCTAGCCGCCAATGCCACGGCAACTTCCCTTACTTGTTTACTATTAGAGATGAAATCAGAGTCAAAATCGATCATGTCTGTGTACTTCTATCCATGCAGCTAATAATGTGATTAAACTTGTGGACAGGCACCACAGAATACAGAACATGTGCTGCAGACGCAGACATACTCTCTACATGCAACAGAAAGATCTAACTTAGATCTGGTCAGTTGGCAGTATGATGGAAACTAAGCTGTATGGTTCAGTAGGGGGGAACATGCGTCAGACCACAGCCTTCACAGAGGCTTGTGGACTTTTGATCTGAAAACCACTGGTAAAAAGGATGAAAAGAAGAAGATCCATTGAACTAAGATGCAGACAATCGGTGTGTTTTGGACATGTTATGAAAAGAAATGGCCCCAAGAACTTGGTAATAAATAGCTGCATGATTTGGCTACATGGATGAGACGAGATAAGAACACTGACCTGATCCATGATTCTAGTGATCTGTAAGGAGGTTAAACGACAACTTACAGGTACTGCACATTATGATGAATGAGACTTATCGCAACTGGTTGGGTGGGTACCAAGACCCCATTCTGGGAAAAAGGAAATAGATACATACACCCCCCCCCCCCAACAAACATGCTGTAAAAGGCTATTAGTTAGGAGTCTGCTTTAATCAGATGTGTTCTCATGTTGCGCTATTATACGTCATTTATACAGATATACAATCGGTACTATCGAAACTGGAACTCTTCGCTTGCTGCTGAAGATGGAGATGAAGCACTTATGGGAGTGTCCTGAGTGCTGTCATGTTGATTCTCCATTCAACATAAATAGTCATATACAGCTCACAGTCTAGTCTCCCATTCTGTTGTATCCTGTGAACATCAAGGATGGAATCCAGTCCTGCGCCTCTGATCTCTCTCAACAACATTCACCAGAGGTCAAACTACACATGCTAAATATGTGCTCACATAAACAATAACAGTTGAATGTATCATCTTTACAATTTGTTTCTTCTATCGTGAAATGTAGAGAGATTAAACCTCAAGTCTGGTCTCTTTTATTCTTGACTCTGTGACGTTTAGATACCTTCCTGCCTTATACTTTACTGCCTTTTTAAGCCTTATATCTTACTGCCGCGCAAAGCCTGTCTTATACCTTACTGCCTTTTAAAGCCTGTCTTATACCTTACTGCCTTTTAAAGCCTGTCTTATACTTTACTGCCATTTAAAGCCTGTCTTATACTTTACTGCCTTTTAAAGCCTGTCTTATACCTTACTGCCTTTCAAAGCCTGCCTTAAAACTTACTGCCTTTTAAAGCCTGTCTTATACCTTACTGCCGCGCAAAGCCTGTCTTATACCTTACTGCCTTTTAAAGCATGTCTTATACCTTACTGCCTTTTAAAGCATGTCTTGTAACTTACTGCCTTTTAAAGCCTGTCTTCTTCCAGCCTAATCTAAAAAGGTAATATGCAGTCTGCAGTCTCTCTTAGACACTGACTTTCTGTTTCATCATCATCATGGTAACCACTTCTGCCATTAAGCATCATGGGGAGGAATAATTTGCGATCCTGTGCACACTGGCTATAGTCATGCCATGACGGTGTAGTATCTTTAATGTTGTCGATTCATTTTTTTGTAGTCATCCCCTTGCTCTTGTAGCTGATCCTCTGAGATGGAGTGCCTGTAATGGTATCTGATGAGATGTCTAAACCACTTTATCTACTGTCTCTAAATGAATCTAGTAAAACGTGTCCTTCCCACAATCTGATGGTATTTTTATTCACTCAACAGTCACCAAAATTGCTAACATGATAAAAGAAATATATATTTTGCTAGACGTCAAGCAAAATAAAATTTTGATCATCATACCTGACACAGTTTTCCAGGGTGTACTTCTCTGGTTCCAACTGGTGAATACAAATAAGAATAGTTAGAAATATGGCTACCTAAGAAACCCCCACTGAATCAAGTTTCACCAGTTATGTATACTCTTTCTTTGATTAAATCAAGCGATACTCTTTCTTCTTCCACCAAGAAAAGAGTGGTTAGCATGTTGTAGTTACAGCAGAGCTACACATATTCATCACATCAGATTTCAGAAATTAGTTATTAGTTGCCACTTTACAACATGCTTGTTGAGGGACAGGGGGTCAACCCCAACCTAGAAAACTCACACCACAGATTGATTAAGCAGTGTCCCAAACGCTCGACCATCAGCTCCTCCGGGAAATAACAATTTTAAAACGATTGACTGAAGGCAGGAAGAATGATGGATAGGAAAACGATGATTACCATCGCGATTTGACAGGAAATGAGAATCTCTGCTCTGGTGGCGGCCACATCAGAAAGCCACAAGCAGGAGTATCTTTTGACCCCCCCCCCCCCCCCCCCCCCCCCGACCTGGAACCCACCACTGACACAGAATTGCATATCTAGGGCCAGGCTGTTTGTGTTAGTACTTCTGAGGGCTGCCTTTTGTTTCTGATGGGTGTGTATGCTGTAGACTTTGTGAGACTGCAGTCTGTGTGAATTATTATACAAGGGACAGTGAAAGACATTATGTGTGGTTTTCATTGGCACAGGAACAGGGCAACCGACATTTGCTGAAGTTGGAACAGTCATTACCCAATTACATTGAGAAAACAAGCCATATCACAATAAACTTAGCATTATGAGACCATAAATAATATGCATAAACACAAAAACTATGGACTGACCTGTTTACTATGAAGTTGGGGCTGTGATAACCTTATTAAATGGGGACAACAAGCCACACCACACTCAACAAACACATCAATATGAGGCAACAAACAAAATGTACAACAAAACAGTTGACTTACCAGTTTTCCCCCAACCTGGTTGTAGAATATCATGTAGAATTCTTTGGTCTCCTTCTTGTAGTGGCAGTAATACTTGGTCCAAGACGTGGTGCCTAGCGCTTCTGAAACAAGTGACAACGATCGAAGAATTAAAATTTCATACAAAGTGGGCAACAATTAGAAAGTAGGCTACCCTCCGTTATGTTGCGGAGAGAGGCATACATGATAATGAAAGGACTACACAAGAGAAAAACAGAATGGGGGAACTAAACTGTTAACCTTATGTGACATATAATGGCACAACTGGTTGCTGTTAATGATGCCTTCCATTCTTCTTTTTTCCTGTTATTGAGAAAATGATTGGCACCTAGTTCAGAGGTCAGCTTGTTCATATCTTGCATGTGAAAGGTTTATATCCTAGAGACCTCAGCTGCCTAAATACAGTAGATAAGAAAACAGCTTCATGAATTCAGCTGCCACTTCCCTTACTCCCTAACATTTTTCTAATATGCACAAAGTAGAGTCGGGTACCAATTTTACAACCTGGCTGTCTAGAAGTGCTTTCACAAACTAGTGTGTGTGGCCGGTTCTTGGTGGTGAACTGATGTATGACAAGCTGGATGTTGTCAAGGCTCTTTGGGAGCGATTGGACAGTGTGGGGGCACAGATAGATCATTATGGTCCAAGGAGAATGGCGCTGCAAGGAGTTACAAGGGGATCTAGCTGGCGCTCAAAACCAAGGGGAAAGGCGAGACGGATATACAATCAGACAGTTACTGGTGTCATCGGAACTGGAACTCTTTGCTTGCTGCTGAAGATGGGGACGGAGCGCTTACACAGTATATGTGAACTAACAAGAAATATATAATACGTGTGAGCTAAGAGGACTATAAGAATGTGTGAACTAACATGATATATATAGTATGCATGAACTAATAAGACACATACACACACACTGTGTGCGTGTGTGAATAGGACACAGTGTGCGTGCATACGTGAACTTAAGGACCTATACAGTGTGTTGAACTAACATGGACATACATGTGAACCAACATGATATATATAGAATGCATGAACTAATAAAACACACAGTGTGTGTGTGTGTGTGTGTGTAAATAAGACACAGAGTGTGCGTGCATACGTGAACTTAAGGACCTATACAGTGTGTTGAACTAACAGGAAGACATACAAGTGAACTAAAAAATCTGAGCCTTACTTTTCTCCATCAGGTAAAGATATCCCTGCTTGGTGAAACCCCTCAATATGCCAGACTGGTCTAATGGTTTCTGCAACAACATACACAATAAGTATCAGTCTGACAATGTTATTACGTTAGAAATCAATGCATGGCCTACAGGATTGTTTTGACGATGCCCCAGTGCCATGGGACACTATAGTTTATGGTTCCACATATGTGAAACTCTGGCAATGATAGAGATGCGAAGCAGCGTATGGTAATGTGTACCACTGATAATGAAAATAGAAAGAAAGCTACGTACAATACTGACACAGAGATGGAAAGCAATGATGATTAAGACAGTGCAACACTGACACAGCGATGGAAAGCAATGATGATTAAGACAGTGTGACACTGACACAGAGATGGAAAGCAATGATGATTAAGACAGTGCAACAATGACAGGGAAATATAAAGCAACAATGATTAAGACGGTGCAACAATGACACAGAGAACTATAAAGCAACAATGATTAAGACAGTGCAACACTGACACAGCGATGGAAAGCAATGATGATTAAGACAGTGCAACACTGACAGAAAACTATAAAACAACAACAATTAAGACGGTGCAACAATGACACAGAGAACTATAAAGCAACAATGATTAAGACAGTGCAACACTGACAGAGAACTATAAAGCAATGATGATTAAGACAGTGCAACAATGACACAGAGATGGAAAGCAATGATGATTAAGACAGTGCAACAATGACACAGAGAACTATAAAGCAATGATGATTAAGACAGTGCAACAATGACAAGAGATGGAAATCAATGATGATTAAGACAGTGCAACAATGACAGGGAACTATAAAGCAACAACAATTAAGATGGTGCAACAATGACAGAGAACTATGAAGCAATGATGATTAAGACAGTGCAACAATGACAGAAAACTATAAAGCAACGATGATTAAGACAGTGCAACAATGACAAAGAACTATAAAGCAATGATGATTAAGAGAGTGCAAACTGACAAAGAACTAGAAATCAATTATGATTAAGACAGTGCCAAACTAACAATGACAAAAAACTAGAAATCAATTATGATTAAGACAGTGCAACACTGACAATGACAAATAGACAGAAAGCAATCATGAATCACTCATTGCAACAATGACAATGACAAAAAGACAGAAAGCAATCATGAATCACTCACTGCAACACTGACAATGACAAAAAGACAGAAAGCAATGATTATTAAGACAGTGCAACACCAACAATGACAAAGAGACAGAAAGCAATGATTATTAAGACAGTGCAACACCAACAATGACAAAGAGATAGAAAGCAATGATGATTAGGACAGTGCAAACACTAACAATGACAGGCAGGCAGAAAGCTATGTACAGTTTATACAAAATGTTGATATAGTCACATTGACAATGTTGATAGTCACATGGACAGAAGGTCTGGCTCTGAAAAATACATATTGGCTTGTGAATGCAAATGAAGGACTTTGTGTTTCAGTAAGTGTGTATTTAAACATGTTACTAAAATAATTTGTTTAAATGCATACACACATTTTAAAACATCATTTACACTCAGTTACTCAGATGGCTAGGGCACACCTGTAGGATGTACATCCTCTATGGTGAAACACAGATGAGTTAAAGATGCTGGGGGTCTGTCTCTACCATGACAGAAAGATGTGGGATATGAATGATACAGGTATATAGGTGGATTTATGTGAAGAGGATGCCATAGACCATGTTAGTGATGGAGAGGGAAAAATCAGGAAAGGAATAGGGATAAAAAAGAAAGAAGTTTCAGAGGGTTAAGAGATAAGCATCTGAGAAGCACTTTAAATATATGCTATGGCAACAATGGTTCTGAAAGTCTCATAAACTAATCGTGGAAGACTTCTTAATGTGAGCGGGTCCTGCTTGTCGCACCTGACACTGCCAAGGGCTGTGATTATTCAAATATTCTCATGAAACTGCAGCTCTTTGGACTGCTGGAGTTCCTTCTTCTTCTTCTTAGTATTCACAGGCTGTGAACTCCGGTTGTTCATCCACTTCCAATTTTTAATTTCATATTATAACTTTAGTTTTTCATGCTGGCTTATTTGTATGATTTTGTATCATAACTTGAGTGTTTCATGCTGGCTTATCTGAATGATTTGGTACCATAACTTGAGTGTTTCATGCTGGCTTATTTGTATTATTTCAAAACATAACTTGAGTTTTTCATGCTGGCTTATCTTTATAATTTCAAAACATAACTTGAGTTTTTCATGCTGGCTTATTTGCATGCAGTCTGTTGTTCCCTTGCCTGTCAGGCACATGCAATCTGACTTTACAGTAAAACCTCTCATTAGTTACTATTTACAATATGCTAGTTAGGTGGGGGAGGGAAGAGTGATGAAAGGCCCCAGTAAGTATATCCCCCCCCCCCCCCCCACCAAATGGGTTCTCGAAACCCAAATGGAAAATTGCTCAGCCTCATATCTTCCCTTAGCAGCCCACAGGAGAAAAACAGATCCACTCAGTCATTATGTGCCATACTAATAAGCGTAGGCTGCCATATTTCATCATCACACATGATCACCAGAATCACTGATCATGTCAGTGCTCTCCTGTCTTGCCCCCATCCATATGGCTAAGCCTCCAGATATCTATTGTGGCCTTCTCCTTGCTCCCTTTACATTCTCTTGCCGGTCATTACTATCTCAACTCCATTCCTTCTTTCTTATAATGCATGAGAGCACACACGTACACACACATACAAAACCACCCTGACTGTCTACAACTAATTACTCCAATCAGTAATCAGTGAGCCTTTTACACATTTTGAGGAGGACTACCTTATTAATTTTTCTACGATTATCCTCAAAGCTTTTACAAAATGCCATCAAATTATATCCATGAAATAATATAAGCAAAACAAAACATAAAATGTAGAAAAATACAACATGAAAAAATTAAACAAACAAAAACCGTGCGTCCAAATAAATGCCCCCAAAAAATTAAAATGAAGCAAATTGCCAAGAAGTTTTATGTTTATACATTGATAACAAATAATAATAAGTACAATTAAGATAAATATACAATTCTTCTTCTAATAACATGCATAAGGTATGTGTGTTATGTACACATTACATGTGTAACACACAGATACAGGAATTTGTACCCTATAAAGCCTGGAGAGAAGATTTCATAAGGAAGACATTGTTCCATAGGAAAGGACACAAGAGAGAGACAGGCAGGGAAAAGCCAGTGTGTGCAAATAAAAAGATGCAAGTCAGAGAGGTTGTACCCATTTCAGCAAACTTCCAAGTGAAGTTGCCACCTGATTATGATGATAGGAGGAAACATTCAAACTGATTCAAAGTGCAAAATAAATATCAGTGAAGTAATAAAGATACTGGAATACACAGACATGTGCAAATCAACCTAGAAACATCAAAGTTTAAACTATTCATTGACAGGAACGTGAAAGTTTGAACTATTTTTCAATGAAAAAACATGTGGAAATACAATGAAATCAGATATCAAATGACTTTGCCAAACAAAAAACAAGATTTGCAATGTGAATAAAATTCTGCAAGCAAACCCAATGACTGCCAATTTTACAGCAATATATATATATATGTTTAAAAAAAATAACTGGCCCAATCACAACACATAAATCTAATTTATAAATAGCAAAGAAACTCATTTAATAAATTTAAAAAAAAAAAACTGATTATGTAAAGAAATTTATTATGGAAAAAAAAAAAAAAACTTTTTAAAGAAAGACATTATGTCAGATTAACTGAACAATGAGAGTAACAGTTAACAGAATAGTGATTACATAGAAGAATTCAAACACCAAAAAAAAATTCAAACAAGACAATTGCCAGGACAATACCAGACTCAACTACGTGCCACCTCACTGACCTATCCCACCTCTGGATCACTTCCTGTCCACTTTCTCCGGCGATGACATGTGTTACATAGAGCTTCTACTATTCAAGTGCAGATGGAAATGTTCTGACAGGCCTCACTGCAACGCTAAGTATTCTTGTTTGCACTTGTATCATTGTCCATTTGATGTTGTGAGCTGGTGAAGGCTTTCTAGCCGCAATGTTCATTCGTTAGTGTGGTACTGTGAAGCTGACTGGTATTTTTACATGATATGTGCACATACAAGCAACTACCTAAGATCTCCATACAGCCACAAGAAAAACCTTCACTCCTATAAAAACATACACAGGAAGTAGGCAGGAAACAAACAACATATGGCCAATCCTACATCCTAAAAATTAAGACTTGCCACGTATACAATGTATGTCTATACAAGATGTGATATATGATGATGATGTCTTACCCATTGAACTATATGATGCTACATACGTATTTGCAAGCATGTAATAAAAGAAAATGTTTGATATGTCAATATGAAAGAAACGTAACTGTTAGTTTGAAATATTAGTAAATTTAGTCTTCTTTTCCTTTGACCTTTCTGTCAAAAAACATTTCAAGAAGCCTGTAGCCTTGATGGAAGCTAATGTGCAATCCAGATCTCCCTGTGTACTATACATCTTTGTCTTGACTGAGATGGGAACAAGCCTGATGGCTTCTTTATCTGCAGCATATGGTTTACAGTACATGTAGAGTGTTTTCAAGTACCAAGTTGTAGGGACACATCAATGTGCTTCCTACACTGAAATATTTGTTACTTGTTATCCATACAGACATCTTAGGACATCAGTTTGACCCATTTATGCTCCGCTCCCTACTTGCAGCAATCATAGTGTCTCCATGCTCAAAGTATTCAGCAGAGCTGACTGGCAAAACTTCTTTCTTTTTGTCCCACAACTGGTTTGTGCATGCCTGTTCTCGATTAATACAGATGGTTCATCGACTTTAACTTTTTGTCTCATCTTTGGAATGCAGCAAATTTAGTACGTCTGCCCAGTCCATTCTCCTTCCTTCACCAGCCACTGCAAACACAGCCAGTCTGTCAGCTCTTTCATTTGCTTTCACCCAATCTGCTTTGCAGCCAAGATAACTTGTTGAACTATGTTGGTGAAGTCTGCTGTGTCTAGTCCTAAGTCTGTTGTGCCCTGTCCTAAGTCGGTTGTGCCCTGTTTTAAGTCTGACATAATAACACAACATACACCAGCTGCGGTGAGATACTAGATAGTGCACTTACTTGCAGAAACACCGGACAGTCTAATCTTAGCTAATCCTTGCCCCAAGATCACAATATATCACCCAGAGCAGCTATTTCTCTATACCCAGCTCATAATGTGTCAGCCAGGGGGTTAACTATTAAAACTAGGCGCTAATTAGCCTAAGGGATTTAACATCCAACACAGTTTAGCTAATATTTCGGAGTTACGACCCTTGCCGTTCAAAGCTTTTATCTGGCTAGTATTTATATCCAGTGGTCACAAATGTGTCAAGAGATTTAACCGGTGAGATAGATATGTGATATCTCTTTGAAATACTTTAGTTAAGGCATTTCCTGTTCAAATTTGTTGTATTGTATATTCATGCAATGTGCCAATGAAGACTCTCTAGCTGCAATATTCACTACCCATGTGACTGGTTCTACTTTTTGTTTGGTTTGATATATTTTCTTGACAAATTTGTTCACTAACATGTCCTCCCAGATTAAGAAATACTGACCACATTACCTACTGAGTCCTGACCTGTTCAAAATCATAGCAGTAGCACCATATAAACAAATATATATCATGGTATGATAAGGAGTCTTCAGTTTTGCATTCAGATCAGATTAGCTGACAGATCTTTCTTACTGCATATCCTGTCATTCAGTCTTAAGTGCCTCAATCACCTTCCCTGTATATCCCTCAGCGTGTAACAGCCAAAATTAATGAAATACCAAAGTTCAGCTACCTCACTGCTCGTGGAACAACACAGGAAGCAGACAATGACAACCTAGGATCCAGCAGGATACTGATCAAGACCTGTCTTGAGCTCTCAGTTGGAACATCCAGGATCAGACACAATAAAGATCCAAATCTGTCTTCATATCTCTCCATGGAACATCCAGGGAACAGTCCTTACTGTGGCTAACAATGGGATACTCAACAACCATGATATCAGCTGTGATGACTTCAAACTATGCATCCTGTGAGACTGCAAGAGAACCAAAGGAATTTCTCACAGTGGTGGCAGAATACATTTTCAGCATATCCTGCATCCACAATTTCTGAAGCTGTCCAGGATGGATGTGTCATCAGTGCCAGGAATTGAGAAAGCCATCAATAATCCATGACACAGATAATTATTGTGTGTGTTTCCATTCCATACCAGGAGTGAATCAACACATCAATAGTCCTTCCTGCTCAAGAAAATTCAGGCCGGCCTTATCAAACAAGAATTGGGTCTTTGATTAACGATTCTCTGATGTGAATAACTTGCATAACCTTAATCTCTATGCCAGGCCATATGAGCGTTCGGGGCAAAGAGACTGCAGATAATCTGGTGGAATAGGCAGTTACTATAACTGGCCTGGCACACCTGGAAAGGAGTGATTTCATTATTGTGATGCAATATGCATGACATGAAGAAGATCACAAAAACAAGCCAAACTCAGTATCTCTGTTCAAGTTGGTGGAAATTGCAATCTGCGGCAACTAGACATTAGCAGTCATTTTACACCTTTAGAGCTATTGAGGAGGAGATTAGAGCACCTGAGGATATGTCAAGAGTACTCTGACGACAGTACTCATGAGTAATTTAGAAGTAGTCCTTTGTTATTCATTCCAAACAGTGAACAATTCAGAACAATAGGTTCACTATGTTAGGTTCTCAAGCAAGACAATGTAACGATAATAAAATAATAGCCCAGAGATGATTGTTATTGTCTACACACATGGCAGCTAAAAGCAAAAGTAAAGGATGCCTCTTAGGTGTACTGGGTACATAGTGCTAGATCTATATTTTATAGACCAATCCACACTTGGTGGCTGATGTGGTCAACACCATGCCGACAGGCTTTACTTCCCATGACTTTATCGGGTACTCATTTTAGACTGTGATGACCCAGGAGACAAGTCACTTTTTGAAAACTCAGATTTCATGCGGAATCAAACCCATGACCTTCAGAATGGCAGGTGAAGCGTGTAACCGCTACACCACTGCGGCTCCACATGGTACCCTTGTGCTATGTTAATAAAGGCGTAGGATTTAGGTAGATCAGTGGGATTAAAGACAAAACTAAAAATGCTTCTTTAAGTCGAAAAACTGAAAGCCTGTGTCGGGATCTTTTCAAAATCACATTGTTCCCCTTTTTTGAGGTTGAGGAAGATAAATGCCAACAGCGATCTTTGAGGACATGCTCCATTTCACATGGACATGCTCAGCAATATCTCCATGCATCAAAACTTCAGATGACCCTGTCAAACAAGAAGCCTGAATGTTTCATTAACAGGAAACTAAACAGCAAAAATCTCAGATATCATGAAGACATGAATATAAAAACAAGCTAAACTCACCAGAGCTTTGTTCTCGTTTAACATCTTACTCAACAAATTATTGGCCTCGTCCCTGGTACACTCAAAGCTTTCCCGTGTCTGTGAAAAATAAAGGCATTGAGAAAATGGAAGGGCCCACAATATTTTCTGATACAAACTCCTCTAATCTTGGATACAGAAACCATTAACAGATTTTATCGGTAAATAATATCAGAGGTACTTTTCTATTCCAACCAGCTAATTTTAATGAACTAATGTTATAGCACAGAAATAGAACGAGAAACACAAAAAACTGTTAAGATTACTATAAAACATGAAATTTACCTGTAGAAAAAATACCCCTTACTTGTTCTCTATACTTTGCTGCCCCAGTATATAAAAAGAATAACACAAAAACAGGCAGATTATGCAAATTATTATCTTCTTCATGCAAGTGTAGAAGGAAAATGGCAGAAAATCAGGTTACAACATCATCAAGGAGAATATTGCTTATGATTCAGTCAAAAATACTCTTTATCTTTTCACCAAGTCTCTTGCCATGTAAATTTTCCTGCTGATAGTGTCTTCAATGTCTACTTCCACCACCTTTTAAGGTCTTATGATGTGTAAGACACATCGTAAAAGTAAAGAGCAAAATATACCACCAACCTTCTGCAGCAAATGACGTAATGTATTCTCATATATACGGAAGTCCTCCAGATCCACATAACCCTCATGGTAGAATGTCAGCCAGCCTAGCATGTAGCTCAGTAACTGCACAGAGACAAGAAATATCCATTAGAATGTCAGCAGGAGACAACAAAAAAGACAAGGAACATGTTAGAAGAGACAACATAAAAGACAAGGAACAAAATAGAAGAAACAACATAAGAGACAAGGAACATGATAGAATGTCAGCCAGCAAGGCATGTAGCTCAGTAACTTTATAGACATAAGAAAATTAAAACTGTTGAGTTTGGTTTTGGTAAAGAAATGGGATACAATGGTGCTGAAAAAAAACCCTCCCAAAAAACATGTGATGATGCACCAGGACAGGGCTTTAACTGGCCAAGACCTGTCTACATCCTTTTATGGTCATCCCAGAAACAGGCTCCTAACCTGGGGGCATTGCTAAAGTAGATAGGATAGCTGTTTCTTTCGAAGTTGGAGTGCCTGAGAGGCAAGAAACTAACAGCCTACGCCCAATAGCCCAGAATTTTAAAACGAATATGTATGCAACATTTAGGTCCTGGAACAAGATCAAAGTCCAGTAGTGGACGAACAACCAGGACTTTTCATCAAAGGTTGCAGCTGATGAATGCTAAGACGACAAAGATGGTGAAAAACTATTTTAATTAACCACTTCTTCATATTCCATTAAAACACAAGCCCCTCAACCAATCCAAATCAAGTCATTTGAAAATTTGTTCATGACTGGCTAGAATTTGCAGCTAGGGCTTTCTGAAAGATAAAGTAGTCAGGCAATCTAATCCCACCCCTCCCCAGTCACTATTCTTTGTTGGCACTTTTCCATCTTTCCAGATGATACTGCTATAAAAAAGCATGGGAATAATATCCCATGGTGATATTAATTATGGTATAATCTGTGTCTCTATAGTGAGTCAGGAAAGCGGCTCATATGGGGAAAAGGTACCAACCGGAAGTGGCTTCTCAAGGTGAAAGTTTAAGCTAGCCCAAGTAAATTTAAACAATACACTGAGCAGATGTGGATTAGAAAACATTACCACAGAGCAGGCGTGGAAGCCTGCTAACAACTGCACACACCCCCCCCCCCCCCCAATCCCTAAATCAGAGAAGCAGATAATTAAGCTCAATTATGAAATGATCAGCAAACATGTTTGAAAACGTACTATTTCAACAAACTCAAACTTTTTCTTTTCTTGTATTTCTTGCAGCTTGAGAACATATTTCATAGATGCTGTGTAGAACGCTTTCTTTTCAAACTCCACTTGAGTGTCCGCCTGCAGAGAGTCAATGACAACAACAGTAATTACAACAATAACACTCATCACTCTGGCTGCATCATCAAATCTCTACTAACCTGAAGATTTAGATCACGGATATGTCAAGATCTGAGAATAGCCAAGAATACCCACACCATTGCTTCCTTGCCTCTCAAGACAGAGACAGTGTATCATACTCCAGTCTGGTAGTCTTAGTTTCAGCTTCATAGCAAACGGGTCACCCCATCTTTGCTCCGCTCCTGTGCCAGCGAAAAACACTCAGAATGTCTATCACAGTCCCTTGTGGAAAAAATGACAGACTGCTGTCTCAGCATATCTAGCATACACTCGCATTAAAGCATATGGTAGCCATCCGAAGTGCTAACACAAACAGTCCAACATTAGAAATGCAGTTCATCATTGATAATAGCAGAACTTGTCGCCAACAAATCAGCAGTTGCCAGCGCGATCAATTTTAATACGGGCCCCGCCAGCATTGCACGACAGGCATCGCACCATTTTCTGAATCTACAATTCACACCACGTTGGTCACAGTCGAAAAAAGACATTCCAAATGCAATCCGCAGCTCACAGGGTCACGCCATGCATTCAACTCAGAAGCTGGGCGACGAAACTATATCCAGTCTACAAATGGAGCAAAAATACTTCGGCCACCGTCCGGCAGAAGCAAAAAATTTGCCTCTGCTCCGAACAGCGCCGCTGTCTAGCGTCCATTTTAACCGGAAGACTCGTATCATACTCCAACTAAGGACAGGGAACAACAGACTTTGCCAAAATATGTTCAAGTTTTTTTTTCAGTATCAGAAACACAGAGATGTGTCCCTGCAACCTGGCACCTGAAAATGCTGAGAAATGTACTCCAACACTGCAGAGAGAATGCTGCTATCAGAAAGGCCATCTGGCCTTTTCCAACCTTAACCAAAACAAAGATTTGTATTGCACGACAGCTTTCATCAACGCTACAGGCGTCCTGTGGTAAGGTTTCCTAACAGAAAGATTGAAGAAGAAGAAGAAGCTGAAAGCTGAAAGCTGATATTAAAAAAATTTTAAACCTGACTGGCTGCTTTGATTATTAGGGGTGAGAGTTGGTAAATAAAGCCAATATTGCCTAAAATTTGCTAGCTGAAAAAAAAAAAAAGACACTAAAAATTGTGTGTGTTTATAAGCTCTTAAAAAAAGTTTATGACTTAAAGAGCTGATGATTTAAATAGTTTGTAACTGAAACTACTTAAACAGAAAAATGTTTGTGCCTAAAACCTCTAATGTTTAAAATTGTCTGTGGCAAAAACAGTTGGTTTAATGGCTAAAACTACTGAAAAAATGTTGATACTTAAAATTACTTGCGGATAAAACTGCAGAGGCGTAAAACTGTGGCTAAAACGGTACTTGTATAAACTTCATCAATAATGTAACATATATCAGATATAATTTATTTAAACCTCTTTAATGATGCAGCAAATAGCAGGCAGTACCTGTATAAATCTCCTCAATGTCACAAATATCAGACAGTATTTGAATAAACCTCTTGAATGATGTCATACATATAGAAAGTACTTCTACAAACCTCCTGAGCTGCCGAGTCGTTACTTTTGGATGCTTTCATGTTGAGATATCTCTCCTGGGACTGGCAAAATTTAACTGTATGCTTGTCAAAGTTCTTCTTCTCCTCCTGGTTAACAGAATTAGAACAAACTAATTGGTCCAAATTAGATTACACAAATAAGAATAAATAAATGGCTTAAGTCTGAAGAATCAACTGCAGACATCAAGTTTAATGGGGGGGGGGGGAATGGCAATAAACAAATAAATCATTAGTAACAGGGATACATAAAAGTGGCAATCAATAACCAAACAGTGAAGCATTAAATATTATTTATTCCCTGGGGCCTATAGAAACTTTGTATAAAAAGACTCATGCCATGACCTAGTAACCTCTAAAACTGAGTCTTTTAGGAAAATATGAAAACACACTGGCTTCAGAAAGACCATTAGGGTCATAAGGGCCCCCCTTTATTTTTAATTTTGCACATTTTAATTACTATATTTATATCCTGGCCTACAGGGGCACACAGAACCAGTGTAGTTCAATTACACTTTATGAGAACAGGTCACCTGCAGACATATCGATATACTGGCATTTAGGGGATTGCGTCATGCCAGAAGTGACTAGATTTTGTCATCTTGGGATGATAGGGTTAACAGTATGCACATGATGATTTCCGGGAAGTGGCAAAAATGTAGCTATCTGAGCTGACATGCACCAGGCTAATTATAAGTCTCACCTTGGCAGCACCAATGTTCTCCCTTCTGAACCTCTCTAGAGGCTTCATGATACAGTCCTCTGCAGCATCAATCTGAGGACAATGTAACAAAGTTACACAAAAAAAAAAAAACATCATTACATTTGAGGGTATTGTAATGAAGTTATACAATAAAATACCATCATAATTGAGGATACTATCAGAAAGCTACATAATGGGACATTCATTTCCAGTCAAGACAATATAAACATCACTTGTCAAGTGTATGTATTCAATTGAGTGGATAAAATGAAGAAATCAGAACAAAATATACAGTAACTTAAAGAGCAAAAGATAAGAGATGGTCCAGTCATCTGACAAAAATACCTTAGTACCAGCTGTCACAAATAGCCATGCTAAAGAAATACAAGGGTACCATGGAATGTTAGCACCTCAAAACTTGGAACACCTTGCAATCCAAATGAAATTTTCAAGTACATTTTGCCTAGGGACTCAAACGCTGCCATGGAAACTGAATGCCTGGCACATGCCAATCAGGCGACTGAGCTGACAATGGAAGAGCTTCAGCACCTTCACCAAGGAAGAAAATGCAGAAGACATTTCTTCCGGGAGAGGAGAGTGAGAAGCTGGAAGGATTAGCACTAATGATATCAAAGATCTTTTGACTACACGGTCGAAAATGCCAGTTGAGAAGTGGCAACCTGATAAAGCCCTAGTTAACGTGAGTGTTTATTTATTTTCAATGATGAATTATCAAAAAATTTAAAAGAATTAAAAATGGTCACCAGCACTAGAGCACTTGGAACACTGGATGTCAACAAAAACAAGTTACCCAAAACCCTCTATAAGTGGTGAACAACTATTACATGAAACACCAGAAAGGATTCATGGAAGGTGACACATTTTCGAAAGAATAATCTCTGTAAAATCCTCCATTGCTCCTCCTTATGCTTTATTGCAATTTTGATCAAGGTACAGTAAATATATTGGCAGCTGCCATGGTGTAGCGGCTAGACACTTGCCTACACCCTAAAGGTCATCCTTTCAAATTCACATCATTCTGGATATGCTGGATATTTTGAAAAATGACACTGGGTGCCAGGTGACCAATTTAACATGGATACCAGGTAAAAATCTGGGAAGTAAAGGTGGCTGGCATGACACAGACCTCATCATTCACTGAGTGTCCATTGGCCTATAAAATGTAGGTCAAGTACTATATGCCCAATAAACCTCAAGACATTGAACTGGTTTTTTACACTAAATAAAATGTTTATATCAACTTTTTATTTATGCTTGCATTCAAATATGATCATCACAGGTTACTATATTTATAGTGTATTGTATTCACAAAAACTTTGAGTTTGCTGAACCCTAGAACAGACTAACGATGGCGCAGTGATTTCTGTCGCAGGCGTGAGGTAAAGTTAAGCCCAACGTGATGTGCATAAGGAGTTACTCCGTACGTCATTCGGGCGCCAGTCCGGCACTGTTCTGGTTTCACGGAACCTCATGCAAGACTCCTGCAGCACGTCCTCGTTGTGCGCCAGGGATAATGTCTCAAATCAGCATTAACAGAGCAGTCAGGGGATCTCGGAGTTTGGCGGCCCCCAGAGGTGCAGTGTCCTTGAGGCTCTCATCAGCCTGCCCCCAAACGCATGGATGAAAAGCTTATCAAAACTCATTAGGAACATGAGTAAAGTGCTTGCCAAACGTACAACTAAAATGACAACATTCGGTTAAAAGTTTGTGGGGTGAAGAGAACATTGCGTTGCTGAGACTCAACCCTTGACCTAGAGATTTACCCACAGCACAGACGAGTAACATCTCCTGTTGGTGGCGTCTCGCAGCTAGATTCTACCCATGTACATCCTCTGTCAACCCTTAGTGTCGTCGCCACCGCGCTGAGGTGCACCATGACAGCAACCATCCATAGGCCAGTTAAGCCCAAATGTCTGACAAAAATTGATCCTACTGCACACGAGCAAGCTCAAAATTCGACCATCATAAATCGTATTGACTGGAAAGAGTCCAAATGTCAACATCCCGAGACCCACTCGCTCGAGTGTTGGGACCAAACAGATAAAGACATGCCTGACGCATGATTCTCCATTCTGTCGTGCTAACAGCACCCTAAAGATGATAATCGTGCGATGAAAAAGATAATACCTATTCGTATGGTCACAAAAGTCCAGAACCCAAGGGCTGCTTCCCGCTGATCTCCAGAGGGCGCAGCCCATGTCGAGCGGGAAGCCTAATATGGTTGTGAGGTTAAGCAGTTATGTGCAGGACGTGACGATTCCTTGCGTGAGCCCAGAACCAGAGCGTTATGTGCCAGCTCTGCATTCATCGAAGCCTCCTTGGGTGGCGGGGAATGCCCATGATCTGCCCCTGCCTTCCCTTGAGGGCCAACCGTTTCACACAGGGCTGTCCCAAATGGAGTACTTCGGGGGCAACACCTACGGAGAAAGGGACAAAGAGGACACCACACAAATAAGGTCACATCTCGACCCACAAAAAAAAAAATGGCCAGTCATCCTAGAAATAGGCCCGAGGTCTTTCCTCGAAGTCGGAGTACATCTGCCCGTGAGGCAGGGAACGGCAGAAGTCAGTAAAATGGTTGTACACGCAAAACTCAGGTCCAGGTAAAAGCCAAAAGTCCAAGCGGACGATTAACCGGGACCTTCCGCCGGAATTCACAGCCAGTGAACGAAGAAGAAGAAGAAGAGACTAATGTAGTTTCCATTACTTCCAATGGGAAATCTGCCTTGGAACTCTATCTGGAATTCGAAACAGTTTACGTTTGAACTGCAAAGTACCACTAAAAACTACACAAAATATGGAATGATGGCATCAACAACCTTGCTGAGATAACTGGAGTAAGAGGAGAAAAAGAAAAAAGGGAAGAAAAAAAAAAGAAGACAAGCATGTACAATTCTTTCTATTCTTCACCCCCCCCCCCTTTTTTGCCCCCATCCATCTTGAGAACAAGCCCTCAGTTCAAACCAGGCCATTGCATTTCCATGCTAGCTATTTCCTGCAGCTTCTCACAAATCCTCCCCCTACTATATACCCCTCACCTGATATATTAAGGCAAACCTTCTGGCCAGAAGGAGCAACAGTGGAATGTAAACTCTATGGACCATTGAATAAACTAAAAAAAAAATTGATATAGATAACTTATTTCAGGCGAACAAAAGAAGAAGTACCTGTCACTGATTCTCTTCTTTTTGCATTTCAGGTGTCCCCCTATTTCTTTTGTCCTGTGGGTTCCAGCACTATGATATTCTAATCATACTGTTACCAGACTATCTCTCTATGTATGCTCTATCTAGCACCATTACTTTTCCTACCCCTTGATTTCCTGGAATTTTGTTTTACTGACTCCCCTGAACACTACAGAAGTGATTCTGTCATTTTAGTTTAGTCGGACTAGCCATACTGAGCTCCTCTTCCCAAACACACACTCATGCTCAAACATAAAGCAAACACCATTCTAAGAAATGGCTGAGCTGATATGGTACTCGCAAACACACAAAGCAACTCACCATCATTTCTCTGTTGTTTTCAATCTTCTCGATATATTTGCCGAACTCGGAGAGTGACTTGGCTGAAAGTTGACAGAAAAATGGTTTACACTGACAATTATCCATTATTAATGGATTACCATGAATTAAATTAAAACAAGAGAATGATGGGCAAGGTGCCCATTATCTAGCACAGAGTGACCAGAAAAACCAACGGGGGAAACAACATGTACAGAACAGACATCACAGATATGTGTAAGACCCAGGAAGATGATAATGAGGATCTTGTGACAGTCAATGAGATTAAGGCTGCACTACAACGGGTAAACAACAGCGCACCTGGTCCAGGTGACATACGATACAAAGATGTGGGCAAATGTTCTGAAAAGGAGCTAGCAGAACAGGCAGCTGTTTACGAAAACAGCATCAACAGCAGAATAATTGAAAAAGAGTGGACACGCAGCTACTTAATACCTCTGCCTAAGCCTGGCAAAGACCACACAAAGATCCAGGGATACAGAGTAAATAACAATGCTGTCTTTGTATGTAATTTAGAACTGGTGCAGTCCTCATATTCCTTTTATATTTTTCCCCATAGTTGCTAACTTTTTTTCTTCTGATTTGTTCTGAAATGTCTGGCATTGGTAGCATGGAGTGGAAATGAAAATGCTTTGCATGAGATGTTTCTTTGTGCTAATCAGGTTTGTCTTATGCTGTAAGAGAGGGCTAGCTGTCCCACTACTACACACACAACTGACGTTAACCAATTCAGTGCCAATCAGCTTACTATACATTCCCTGATTATTCTAGGCATAGAATAACGTCCTAATGTTTTCAGTTCAGTTCTTCTGTTACTTGAATTCACTAGGAGGCTGCGTGGTCTCGAGGCATGGTGTCCGCCTCGAGTGCTAGAGATTCCGGGTTGAATCCCCGGCAGAGGTGGGATTTTTTCACGTGGACGTGGACTCCTAGTAATTCCCCCTGGTCTCTGGGTAGTGATATCAGACGCCCGTGTGCATTGTTGTGCATGTATAAAATCCCTTGGCATTTTGAAATCGAAAAGAGTAATCTAACGGTGCTGCCCAGGCAAAATTTGGAGTTAAAAATCTACCCAAAGTTTTTCAGGGTTCTCGCCGGTGCTACAGAGTCTGTGCACTGTGCTGAGCTTCTTCGGACTCATACTTGAGTTAGGAGATGAACGGAGCACTTATGGGTGATAAACTTCAAACCTCAATTCACTATATTCCATGTGTTACTTTAACTCGCCTGTCCCATAACAGTATTATTTAAACTCATTAAGACTCCTGAACAGTTACTTACAAGCGGAAGTGACAGAGTTAAATGTATTTAACTGTCTGTGCTGTTTACGTGTGCGTGCTGGCAAAAGCGGAAACCCTCATAAACACCATTTATTTATTTATCGGCCAAAACACCTCCTTTATATACATCAACTTCCATCATCCTTTTATCTCATACTTCCCATGTTTACGTTGCAAACACACCATTGCCTCCCCTCTTTATACATCAGACCCCGGGAGGTTTTAAAGACCCCCCCCCCCCTTTTCCGGCTCCTGACAGAGAGCTAACTCGCAAGTTATCATTCATTACACATTTTCTGAAAGCATAGGGCGCCCCTAAGCCCGACCGCTGCATGTCCCTTGACCCCTTGTTTATCACCCGTACACACAATATACCGTATCGATCCGAGAGAGAAGGAAGTTACAGTGGCCCAGCTGTATGTATACACTTTAGCTGTCTGTGACGATCTTATTCTCGGGCGTTCTCTCTCTCTCTCTCTCTCTCTCTCTCTCTCTCTCTCTCTCTCTCTCTCTCTCTCTCTCTCTCTCTCTCTCTCTCTCTCTCCTCTCGTTTGTGCATTTTACTTGATGTTCATACTATGTATATTGTTACGTGAATATAACACGCCTTACAGACAACATACTATGGACACTGAGTATTTGGAATGACCGAATGTTAGACGGGCGTGCGCCAAAATTATAAGTAAAGGACCCTTTTCCACGCATTCAGAGGTATAGGAGCACGACTCTCTAGCGTAGTTGGCTGAACCGGATTGCGCGGAGACCGGGTGACGAACTCCTTGTGGTCCGGGTTCAATCCCGGGGGTGGGCAGAAAAGCCACATTTCTCTCAGATTAACGGTATTTACAATGGAATCAAGGCCTAAAGGTTGCGATATCCATAATACCGAGCCTAAGGGTTAACAACTCATGGCTTCTGGATACTAAAACAAACAAACAGGCGTATAAGGCATACAGGGTTAGACCTAAATTTTATATACCAATCGGCACAGGATTGGTGATGTGGTCAGCATCACACGGGTCGAATTTACTTCCCGGGACTGCAGCCGGGTCCCACTCAGGGCTGGGTGGACCTGGAAACCAAGGTTATTTTTGAAAAAAGATCCGGCTCCTGCCAGGGAGCGAACCCACGACCTTGCGATCCGCGGCGAGCGTATAGCTGCTCCACCACGTTGACTCCCTGCCAACATTGTGACCGATTTAAAATAAATCACCCCCCCCCCCTTTCTCTGATCTCTGTCCAATCATCTACAATTAATCGAGAAGATTTAAACCTTAACGCTGGCCTGCGGATCCGAAGGTCGCGGATTTGGCTCCAACAATGACCTTGGTTCTCTGGTCGACCCAGCCTAAATGGGTACCAGGTAAATTCCTGGAAAGGCGGTCGGCGTGACGTTGACCCCATCACCCACTAAGTGCCGAATGGTCTATAGATGTAGGTCTAGCAATATATCCCCAACCCACCTGACGGCAGGGGGAAATGTTCTTTTCTTTTTAAACTGTATGTGGGAAAAAAAGTAAAGCAGGGAGATGTCAACCAGCGTCATTGCACACTGTTATAAACTATAAGTGCTCTGCCACCAGTTCTGACAGCTGATTAGAAACTGTCCGTCTGTGTCGCTGTCCGCACGAAACTCCGTAGCTACAGTGACATTCCTCCATTTACTCCAGTGTTAACTCTGGTACCCATTACCTAGAGACTGGGTGAACCCCGGGAACCACCCGGTTTCTAACACCGGCTGTGGGCGGCAGCAAGTTGCAGCTGGATTTGAAAGTGAGTCTTGTATCGACTGCGCTAACGCGCCCCTGCAAAAAAAAACTGTATGTGTATGTGTGTATGGTAGCGTCGCTGCTAGACACACACACCTGTAGACTCGAAAGCCTTGGAATCCAACCCTCACCCAGCTGGATTTTCTCCCTCGTTGACACAAGGTCACCTGGGCACCGGGTGATGTCATGGGTAAAGACAAGCAACCGTGGCACTGACCCTACTGTCCATCGGAGTGCCGGTCGTTCTATAAACAATACAGGTATAGCGCCATAAGACGCGACACACCTCGTCACCGCCTCCCTTTATAATCATTCAAAACTGTTACTGCGCTGAAGATTGGCAGTAATGGACGATTCCGTTTTATGTCGTCTTCTTTGTCTTTGTTATCAACCTCTTCTTCAGCAGCAGCGCTTTCTCTACCTTCCCTCTTTTCCTACTGTAAAACACGCTTTACAAAGCCTCGCACTTCCTCACATTTTATGCTCCATCTGTTTAGCGGAACTGGATATGGCATCGACTGCTGGTTTGTAGGAATATTATGGTGGCGAGGCCGCATAGAAATACTACTTGATGAGGCCGCATGGCAATTGAATTCGGTAAAGCGGCATTTGAATACAACGCGATAGAATCGCAGGGAATATTACGTGGTAAAGTTGCATGGGAATATTATGTGGTGAGGTAGCATGGGGGCATTACCTGGTGAGGCTCCATGGGAATATTATGTGATGAGGTTGATTGGAAATATCAAGTGGCCGCATGGGATTACAACGTGATGAAGTGCATGAAATATTACCTGGTGTGGTCGCATGAGGATATTACGTGGTGAGGCCGCATGGGAATATTACGTGGTGAGGCAGCATAGGAATATTATCTGGACAGGTCGCATTAGCATTCCCATAGCGAGGCCACAAGGGAATATTATGTGGTGAGGTCGCAAAGGAATATAGAACCCTAAAGTTCTATTAGAAGGGGACTCTCGAAACTATAACTTGTCCTCCTTCCTTCTCAGTCCCCTCCAAGCAGGCATTCAACTCTTCTCAGGAAAGCAAAGCGAGGTTATATTCTCATTAGATTTCATCTATTTGTTTTTGTAATACATATTTTAGCACTAGACAGTATATAAATTACATTATACAACCCCATCAATGCATAAAATGACAATGAAAATAGGATTCACATTTTCATAGGATCCTATTAATTATTCCCTCTTTATTTTATATCTCTCATGGTCAAAATGCTTTCCTACAAGTCCTGTTTGGTAAACGTCCAAAAATGCTAAACAGATGCTAAATCCGTACTTGAAGCACTCCAGTCTAGGAGCACTCCAGTTTAGGAAAGTACCAGAATTGCAAACACTGCTGACACAACTCAGCCTTCAGCGAAGAGTGGATACCGTCTCATTGTGGAGTGCCTGGAAATGAGAAAGCTGATCAACTGGCAGGGGAAGGTGAGACAAAAGTGGAGCTGGATGTACCAGTCACATACCACCAAAAGAAAAGAATCATTAAATCAATCAGGAAACCACCAGCCCCAGCACAAGACGACTATTTTATTATGGACAGACCAGAACAAGTCACTATCTTCCGCCTCAGAACAGGGCACGACCGATTAGGTAACCACATGTACACAAAATTCAAGACAGGTGTATCAGCCATGGGCACCTGTGGAAATGTGCCCAATACAGCAGAGCATTAACTCCAGGACTGCACCAAATTTGACACATTTAGGTAAACCTTTTGGCCAGAAAGAACAATAGTGGAACGTAAACTCTATGGACTACTGAACGAACTAACAAACAACGACGGTGAAATTTATACAAATGATTTAAACAACTTATTTCAGGCGAACGAAAGAAGAAGAAGAATATTTCCCATCTGTGATCCTGTTTAGAGCAAATATTCATTACATTCTCCTCAGACATGTGTTTTGAAAAGTCTCTAGTTTATGTACAAATCCTGCTGTCATTTTCCAATACTACTCCCAGTTGTACAACAGTTCCCCCTTTGTTTAAATATCCAGAAACCATAAGCTGTCAACCCTCTGGCTCGGTACTATGGATACTGCAACCCCTTCGGCCTTGATTCCATGATAGATACCGTAAATCTGGGAGGAATGTGGCTTTTCTGCCTATCCCCGGGGGGCGAACCCGGACCACAATGAACTTGTAAGGTTAAGCCAACTGCACTAGTGAGCTGGGCACAATAGTTCCCTAAAATGTGGCTCCCAATTAATTTTTAAAGTTTAAAAAAAAACCAAGTCTCTTTTGTTTCCATATAACGTTGAGCATGGCAAATGCTGGGTCTGTTTTATTTACACTTGATGTTACAGAATCCTCATCTGAGGTAACTTTACCTTTGAGGTATGTAGTTCTTCAACCTTGTGTTGCTTCAAAGTTTAAGATAACTGGATTTTTCCGTTTTCTGATTTCTCATAACTTTAGTTTTACGATTACTTATCTTGAGGCCCACTGTCAAAAGGCTTTCAATTTTTTCCGCAGCATTCATTTAGCGACTTGATATGATGACTAAAGTCATTCGCTGGTCCAAATAATTTAAAATGGAGGCAAGTGACCATCTGATACCTCTGATTTTATCTCTTGTAGCGTCATTCTTCAACTACTCAATGGCCAGGTTGCACACACACACATGAGTATAATAGCATGCATCACTTCTAACTCCTGTGCTGATAAAGAAGAAAACATACTATAACCCCACTATATTCTCTCTACTGTCTAAGATATCTACTAACCAACTATATCACCAGTGTATTCTTTCCTTTAAAAATCTATATCAATATCCACAAGCTAATAAAGCCAAAATGTTGATGGCCTGCATGGCTTCCCCACATTCCTGTCATCACCTCTATTTTTCCAAATGTTAAACACTGAATGAATGAACTGAGATCACTGCTTTCTGGAAATTCCCATATGTGCTCTCAGCTTACTCAGTAGCCAAAGAAGTGTTCCCATACTGATGGTATCAGCTGCAAGCTGATCAAACCTCCGCCTGTTTTCCCTTGCTGGAAGAAAATCAACCAGACCCTCTGCTCCCTCCCCCAGCTGTATCATTCTCCTCAGAAATGGATGTTTTGTTTGTTCTGCTGCACCATTTAGTTCATCCCAAAAGCCTTCATCAATATAACTAGAATGTCTTTGCATTGGAACCCCCAGAGGCATAGGAATGAAGGAAGGCAAAAAAAAAAAAACACATGGAAAAGGGAGCTGGAGAAGGAAGTTAGAAAGATGGGGAGAACATGGGGAGAGCTGCATGCGATAGCAAAGGATAGAACGACTTGGCGTGAGTTGGTTGAGGGCCTATGCTCCACCGGGGGGGGGGGGGGGGGGGGGGGGGGGGGGGGGGGGGAAAGGGGGGGGCTAGAAAGGCAGCAGCTAATCTGTCAGCCTATTCATCACCACGTACACCAGAAAACTCTAGGCAAAAAATCCATGATATGCTTCTTATCAGTCTTTAACAAGCGACACAAGCCACTCTGAGCGCAAGATACCAGTTTCTATTTTCTAAAGCATGCCTTGCAAGTCAGTCATAATTACATGTGGCTGTAAAACGCGAATGTAAACAGAAAACACAAAATGATAAAGATAACCTAAACAAATTCAGGCAAATCAATCATGGGCGGAGAAGGGGGGGAACAATGATAATGAAAGTGGTATTAACACCAATAAAATAATGGTACCTCAGTTTGAGATGATGTATATTGATTTACAAATCAGCCAGCTATATTATGACTGACTCACTAGGTCAATAACATGCCAGCAGTAGATCTACTAACATGTGAAGGCAGCATGCCATCACTGTTAGCCATTTCTTGTGTGCTGGAGCTGTTGTTTGAAACCTACCTGTCACAGTGAAAGGTTTTCCTCTAAGAACTGGGTCAGAGTTTACTGGCAATACAAAGGCAGTACCATGGTAGATACCACTGCTGAGAGGAATGAAGAAGTGATACCACTGCGCTAGGGACATTCCTACAGAAGCCCTGTCTCCTTCCTCTGTAGACGACGACGAGTTCAAAAGCTAACAGTGACAGATGCATCCTGACAAAAAGTTCGCCTGCTGCTGAGTTTAACCCAATTAAACACACAAAATAATTTCAGGGAGACAATGTCAACACAGGGGAACACACGTTCTCACATTCCCACAACAAAAGAATACTTGCTACCCAATATAACCGTTTTATGCACAGCTGACATGGGTTTCTGGGATTGTTTCTGTTGAATGCATCCCCAAAAGTGGTTGCTTATTATTATTGTGTTTAATGGCTGTAAAATCAGGCAGAAAGTTCTGGTTGTTTATCCACTTTTGGACTTTAGTCTTCTGAATTTGCGTTTTGTGTGCACCTCCTTTCTAAAGATCTGGCTAATTTGTATGCAGACTGTAGGTTCCCCACCTCTCAGGCAGATGCGCTCCGATACCCCCCAAAAAAATGCCCCCAATTAGTTTACTAAGGGGGCAGTGAGTCTATTCTTGTATCCCTGGAACCCATAAGGGAGGTTGGGGGGGGGGGGGGGGGGGGGGGGGGGGGGGGGGTTGTGAATCTACAAGTCACTGCTGTGAAACCTTCAGGTTGCAGTCTCAGACTGATAATAAGGAAACAAACGAACACAGCTAACAAAACTTGAATACTTACAGATAACAATTTCATCATCTGTCAGTTGGTTACCAATACACTCAAACTTGAAGTTCATCATATCTTTGGCAAAAATCCTCTGTGCTTTAGACAGCTCTGGAAATAAAGATATATTCCTACATTAAATTACTGTTTTCCCTCTGCTGTCTTGGGTAAACAATAGGTGAAGGAACAGTACATGGAAGATAAAGCAGGAGTCATTCAACATGTGGATTTAGAGCAATAAGACATCATAAGAAAAGGAGCTCTCTGTACCCATCAAAGAGTCAAACAGTATTGAACCAAGATGAGATGCAGCAATAAAGTTAATAAATTGTTTAAATCACTACTAATTACTGAGAGATCAACAGACTGTATCCACATCAGAGTTAAATTAGAGTGTATACAGATGGATGCAGGATAGCTTTCATAAAGGCTTTTGGCCTCCTGATATGTTTTCTGACAGAAGGATCAAAGACAAGAAGAAGACTGGTATCACAAAGGCTAATAGACTAACATGGTTGGGGCATATAGAAAGAGGCAGATAACAGAGAGACAAAACATGTGACACAAAACAGTTGAACAGGAGTAGATCAAAAGGCAAACCAAGAACAATGGGGGGGGGGGGGGCAATAATATACAGCCAGACCTAAAAAATACATGGAGTCACCGACATATAAAAAAGGGCCAAACATAGAGAAGAACAAAAATGGGTGACATCTATAGCAATGAACCTCAAGGTCTAAGAATGCTGAAGAAGAAACAGGAGAGGAAGAGGATGAAGAAGAAGAAGAAGCAGGAGGAAGAGGACAAAGAAGATGAAGCATAGAGGATGATAAACATCCTGAGAAAGCTAAATACTTTACAAAATTGACCAAGAGAGCATACAACCACATCTGGAATATGGATAAGCACAGAATGATGCATAGCACAGAACAGTGTTTAGCCCACACAATGTATAGCACAGAACAGTGTATAGTTCAGAACAGTGTATAGCACAGAACAGTGTAGAGTACAGAGCAATGCAAAGCACAGAACAGAATGGTGCAAAGCACAGAACGGTGTAGCACAGAACAGTGCACAGCACAGAATAGCCACACAGTTTTAATGATGATAAATCCCATAAGTCTGTGTCTCTAGAGATGGGTCCGCAGAAAATGCAGTTATAAACGGAAAAGTCTGACTACAAGGAATACAACTTTGAAAAGAACACTGGCCTCAAGAGCAAACTGTGCAGAGCAAGCTATGGGAACCCATGAAAGCCCTGCTGCTGACATGCGAGTTCACAGAGGCAACGCATCTGATGGGCTGACTCGAGCATTTGAAACCGAACACAAAAAATAAGAAGAAGTGATTCCTTAGGAAAAAATGCAATAGAGAAATAGACTGTAAGCACTATGTGGGATATTATGGCACAACAGGATGATGATGAACATAATGATGACTGCTGCAATGAAATCATAATCTGTTGTGGCATCAATGAAGTGGCTGGTAGCTGTATTAGTCTCTAATTTACTATTCCTGTTTATTATTCCCTAACACTGCACGGCATCAGTCCATAAGTTAAAAGATTCAAACATTTTTGATTGAACATTCCTACACATACAAACATATGTCTACTGACCCACGAGACTATCATACACTCACAAACATAACAGCCACAAACACAAACCAAACCCCATCCTCCATGTATCATCAAGTCCTTTGGCAACTAGAATGATGACAGCATATGTTAAGAGTGATGTAAAACTAGTTGGAGAGCAGCTGTGTGACTGATAGGGTCAATAAGCTGAATATATTTACTTAAGATTTTATACACTTAAACAATCTCTTCATCGAATCTGTTATACTGATCAATTAAGTATTATTAGCCTTGCCATAAGACAGATTATGTTAGAAGTAAACAATTGTAACTACCCTTTAAAAAGAAAAAGAAAAATCAGACCCTTATTCATTCATTCAGTAGCATGTCCCTCGCGGAACCTCGCTGCCATAACAACCCTCCGGAAAACCTTCCTATCCTGAGCAAGATGTCCTGCGTCTGATACACCCATCTGGAGATCATCTGCCACATCCTGCACTCATCTTCTCCTTGGCCTTCCTCTTCCTCTCTTCCCAGGCATATACCCCTCCATTATTGTTCTCTCTAGACTTCCATGACGTTTCAAGTGACCAAAATATTTCAATTTTCTTTGTTTTATTGTCTTTACTAGCCAACCCTCTTCAATATTCAGCTCTTGAAGTATGGATGCATTTGTTCTTTTCTTTACCCAAGATATTCTTAGAACCTGTCTGTAACATTTATATTCAAATGCATTTATGCGCTGTTCCGCTTGTTTAGTAAGTGTCCAGGTCTCACAGGCGTATGTTGCAATGGGAAAGATGCATGCTCTTAAAAATCTGACCTTTGTAATTCTATCTGCACAATTCCCTAATTTATTCAGTTGTTTTAGTCTTTGAAGAGCAATTGATAGTCGCCGTTTAATTTCTTTCATTCTGTCACCATTGTTGGTAACCAGTGACCCAAGATATTCGAAATTTTCCACCACTTCCAATCTTTCCTCATTAACATATATTTCCTTCTCCATGACAGTTTTGTTTGTATGCATTATCTTTGTTTTTGCTATGTTAAGAAATAAGTTATGATTTTCACTATTTCTTTGGAGTGAGGTTAATAAGTTTTCTAAACCATTTTGTGATGTTGATAGTAATACTGTATCATCAGCATAACGAATTTCTGGTATTTCATGACCACCGATGTTTAGGGCATCATATTGTTCCTTGTTTATATCATCTCTTACATTTCTCATTATATTTTCGGCGTACAGGTTGAACAAATACGGTGACAGCACACATCCCTGACGGACTCCTTGCTTGATGCCAAACCAGTCTGATGTCTCTCCATCTATTCTGACTGCTGCTTGTTGGTCTTGATAGAGCATTTTAATGAGCTGCACTATATGTGATGGAAAGCCCATATTCCTCATGATTTCCCAAAGCTTCTGATGTTGTACACAGTCAAATGCTTTTGAATAATCCACAAAACATAAGTTGTGGGTAATCATATTTCAGACCTTGTCTGCCAGAGGTGATAGGTAGTTACAACACAAACATGCAGCAGAGTAATAGTAATAGCAACAGTAGCATTTGTAGTAACAGAAGCAGAATCAGCAGAAGAATTAGTTGACGCAGTAGTAATAGTAATAGTAGTAGTATCAGTACAATAGGCGTTCAAAGTTGTGGTCATAGTACTTAGCAGCAGTTAAAGTAGTGACAGCAAAAGTAGTAGTCTAGCAGTAGTGACAGCAGCAACAGTTGCCAACAGCATAAGCAGTAAGTCACAGCTCAGTAGTAGTTGTCATAACAGTAGTAGCGACAGTTGAGTAGTAGCAGCAGCAAGTAACTGTAGCAGTATAGTAGTGACGGCAGCAGAAGTTAAAATGTCGTAGTAGTAGCAGCAGCAGTAACAGTAGTAATTGTCAGCAGCAGTATCAGTAGCAACAGCAGTAGTGATTACCAGGTTAAAAGGGCGGGTACAGTGTATCGTACACAAAATGTCTCAAGACCGAGATTTCCATATGTAAAGTTAAAACAAATCAGCAGAATTAGACTACAGGAGAGTGCAAATTAATATAAAAAAAAATAACTGCGTTCTCTCCTAGAACTCTTCCGCCACAGCTGTCTTGGAATAAAGCTCACAAACGGAAAATTATAGAATAATAAATTGATGATCAAGTTTACGTACGCTTCGCTGCATTGTAAACATCTCTTCCGTGATGCACCAGTTGCTTAATAAACTTGCTAGTCCGTTCAAGCTCCTGTTCGTGCTCAGCCAACTTGGTGCGAAAAAAGGGACTGTCCGTCAGACAATCAGCGAACTCAAGCGGCTGCAGCCCCATGTCGAAGTAACGTTACAAGGGAATCTTTTTACGAGTAAAACACATCGCCGAACTGGGAAAACATAGGGGATTCTTGTCGTTTCCTGACTTCTGCGGTTTGTGGTTGAGGATGCGCATGCGCCGGCGGAAGTCTGTCGTTTTTGTTTGGAGTGAAAAAAAGGTGTCGGACTGTTTGTTTTAAATATAGGGAGGAATGTAAAATAAAATTAAAAAATAACTGCGTCCCAGTGTAGTATGCAATTTTTTTTTTAATTGTTTCAAAGCTCCACCCTGGCTGTTGCCGGGGGCCCTAAGATAACCTAACTGTTGAACGTGGTTTCTGGGACCTCTCCCCGGGTGATCCTCATCCGCATGGTGGCTCTGTGTGCTACTGGGTGTTGTTTATAGCTTTGTTGGATGTCCTGGTGGGGTTAAATCTAACTAACATTAAACCTAGCCCCAAGACGGAACGCAGTTTTGTTTTTATTTTAAAGCCCCACTCCTGATGTAGTCGGAGGCCCTACAATAACCTAACGGTTGAACGGGGTTTCTGTGACTTGTACCCGGGTGATTCTCATCCGAATGGTGACACTTTGCGTCACGGGTTGTTTATCGCTTGTTGAACGGTACTGTTTCGGTTGAAACGTCACCAACTCACAGAAAAATGAATCAATCAATCAGGCGCCGTTTCGACAGTGAAAGTTTGCTGCAAATGATCTTCAACACTCTATCTCTTGTCTTGCTTGTACACTCTCTCAGACTGCTGCTCGTCCATTTCTTGATTTTATCATCCCATTGGTATACCTGTCTACCTCTTGCTTGCTTGTTTTTATTCCCCACCGGTACACATTTTAAGAGTGTACTAGATTTCATTGCCCGGCTTCGTCCAGGATATGGAAACTGTTATTCCCCCGTCCATGTTTCCATCGCTGCCGTATATATAGTAGAAACTCCACAAAGGAGTTAAACATCTTCTGGACGCATCCCCCTTTTTTTAAAACAAAGTTTTGGGAGCTGGCCCTTGAGTCACGACCAGAGGTGGAGAGGTAAAAGCCTGCTAGACCACTTCTAGGGGTCAAGGACGAGTGGCTCAAAAGTCTGAAAGTGCGCAGTAATTATTATTATTATTATTATTATATTATTATTATTATTATTATTATTATTATTATTATTATTATTATTATGATTTACGGAGTGAAAAGCACCTCTTGAACCATAATTTGAACTTTGCGCAATTCTAATCAATAGATGTAAGCAGACGCATTTGTCTGCTAGATCAAAGTTTCAGGGACGACAACAGCGAATTGTAATTTTAAAAAAATCATTGTATGGGACATAAGAGAAAATAAATTTTCAAAGCGAGACAGCTCTGTCGAAAGTTTAATTGAACTGATTGTTGCAGTAATTAAAAGAAATGCAAATAAACCCGGCCGCCAATGTGACTGCTCAATTAAACATTGTAGCTATAATGGCAACTAAAAATGTAACTTACTGTCTGACTGACTTTCTACCCCACCAGGACATCACACAAGCGATAAACATCCGATGACACAAAGTGCCACCATGTAGATGAGGATCGCCGTGGAGAGGTGCCAGAAACCGCGTTCAGACGCCATATTTATGGCTTGCCTATATTGCGGCCCCTGGCAAAAGCCAGGGTGGGGCTTCAAATAAAAAAAAATTTCATTCTGAAAAGGACGAAAGGATATATTTTTAAAAAAATGTAAATGTAACTTATGATGTAGTCACAGCTTGGGAGGAGTTACCAGTTGAATTAAAATGTGCACACAAAGTAAATTACTGTTATTGTGTTTTAAAGTATAGATGATCGGTTTTCACGATATCGAAATATTTAGCGTATTTTTTACTTTTTCCAACGCCTCTTCGCCCCCCCCCCCTTTTCCCGAATATTCTCTCTCTTAATTTCGACGTTTTTGTGTCCATGAAATACATGTTGTTCTATATATTCAGATTCTGTTTGATGTTAAAATGTGCTTGTTCATAGCCCTCGTCTCTGCACTAAATAGCAGGATTTAAAATAAGCAAAAGTGGACACATCTTATTTCTAATCTGTTGTCCACTCCCCTCCTTCCATCACTTACAGGGGCTGATAGCCAAAGGTTTGATATCCTGAGAGTACAGAATATTAATCTGTATGGAAGACCAACAGGCAGTCCCAGATTCGGAGCTCAACCTCCGAAGAATTAGGGCCCCTTTAACTTGCAATTAGAAAAAGTTATAAGGGGGACAGCATTACAGCAACACCAAGCAAAGCAGAGTTCGGAAACACGAATAATAAGCCAACTTTACAGTTTACAAATGTAAGAAACTAATAATGCGATGACAGCTGGGTTCAGGTGAGCTAAGAACTAAAATCACAGGATATTCCAGCGAGTGCACCGCCCTCATCTTCAGCATTCAGCGAAAAAGTTCCAACGCAGATAGTACTTTTCACTTTCTGCAGCACCCTTCTCTTCATACCATAATGGTCTCTTCGCACCTACATTGTTCACTTGCTCCTAAACAGCCTTGATCACGTCATGCATCAGTTTGCCATCCACTGGTGCAGTACCCAACAATAAGTCTGCATGTTCATTTTTCAAAACACCTGCATTCTCCACAAGAAAGATCAAAAGTTCAGTACCAGAAAACTCCGACTGATGCTAGCCAAACAGCACTGAGCAAACCCGTCTCAGCATGCTTTGTGAATATTTAACATCACAACATACGTGTGCTGACATGACAGCCTCTACATCCATTCTGAAACTAGGTGTTGTGGTAGAGCTTTAGGTTATAATTATGACTAGGGTATTTGAGCCACCTAAAATGGCTTAGCATTGCACGCCACGAGGAGCCTTGAAAACGACTCCTGTAGTGTTGATGTGATCAAAGAATACAAACCTAAATACTGTCTCGACCGGCGACAAAGGTCGTCTACAGGCAAACCAATGGGCGACCCAGTCGCCTATGAATAAATGAGATTCAGCCCTACCAGGACATCCACCAAGCGATAAACACGCGGTGAAACAAAGTGCCGCAATGCGGATGAGGATCACCCGGAGAAAGGTCCCAGAAACCCGGTTTAACCATTACGTTATACTAGGGCCCGCGACTACATCCGGGGTGGGGCTTAAAAATAACAAAACATTGCGCCCCGTTTCGGGACGACAGTTTGAGATAAGTCAACAGAACATTTTAACGATCTTTTATAAACGCAGAGGAATAATTCAGTGAGTAAAGGGATGTAAGCAACACAAGTAATATAAACACCAGCGGGAATTAATTCCCCTCGTTGTTTTTTTTTTTTTTTAGCTGTTGGTTCAATAAAATAATCCCCGTCAAAGTGTTGGACGCAGTTTGTCCTTTATTTTGACTAATCAGAATGGTGGCACTTTGTGTTAAAAAGTAAACATATATACGGGGTTAGGGGAAATCATAGAGCCCGTAACAAAGTTTCTAGAGGCAGTTCAACCCCCCCCCCCCCCTCTCCCTTTTTTTTCACAGTAAATTGGGATCTCAGTTCTCAGGGAGGGGGGGGGGGATTGTTTAAAGTCGAAAGAACTCGCAGGATTCGTCGCATACGATAAAAGACACTATCTCACTCTCCATGTCAAGTGAAAGACAAAAGAGGCTTCTTCACTCATTCTTCCCCGTGTGGGTCCTGGGTCCCCCTGTGGGAGGGGAGGGGAGAGACTCACTGCTCCCTTAAAATCATGTCGTAAAAGGTGATTGATTAGGGGTGTTGCCCTTAAAGCGAGATATGTAGTTACAGCTATGGGAGCTTTCCTCTCTCAAGCGTTGATTACGTCAGATCGACAGAGAAGTAGTCTGCCCCCTCCAGCGTTGTAGAATGTAGAGTTAACATCTCAAGGATGAGAATCAAACAGGTACAAATCCCGGAAGCCCCGTCCAGTTGTATAACAGTTATACAGGATGTTCCTAAAGTTTAGCTTCATTTTGCATGAAAAAGAAAATACTATGTATATAAATCAAAACAAAAATTTGCAGTTAATCGTGAAGCATTAAACAATGAACGGATGTTATCTGCTGGAATAATTATAATTAATTCTTTGCACTCAAAACATAATGGTGTATTCAAAGGAAGTAATGCCAATGAAAATTTAAGAAACAGCAAAATACACGTTGCAGAAAGTATTTGACAATACACTACAAAGAGAACTGAACAGTCGTTCCTTGAAGCTCGTGACGGACATTTCCAAGAAGTGTTATAATGCATATTTCATTAGTACTTCCAGCTTCCCCAAATCAGCGTTAGACCATATCGGTGACTATTATAACTAATTTAATGACTTTTTAAGTACATATTTTAAATGACCTCATGTACTTGGGTTTTTCAAATTTGTTTTGCCTACAAAAGTGAGACTTTACAAACACATTGTATTGGGACTCTGATGGTTACGTAGTAACGTGAAGTCCGGAAACAACACAGTTTATTCTGAACTCTTCTCACCCGCACACGACTGCACGTGATACCTAGCCGGTGTTCACGTACCGTTTTAAATGAGTATGATCCGGAGGGTTCAGGCAGGTTCGGTGCGAAGACAAAAGCTTGAATTATTACAGAAGTCCACTGAGCGTGGAGTCACCTTTATTTTGTTTCCGGGACACGCAGGCGTCGATGGAAATGAAAGAGCTGATAGGTTGGCTGGATCCGCTATCACTACCGACGGTCAGCCTATGGATCATGCTGATATTATTAATGCCCTCAAAGAAATGGGAAGGATAGAGGACTTTGGGGCAGTGAATCCACACCACTCGCCAGAATGGCAGACTTGGGAATTAAGATCGGTATAGCAAAAAAATAAATAAAAACGAGACGCACACCAGACATACTAGACATACTAGAAGACTTGTTAATAAACATAGAACTGATACTCTTAGCCATCGGAAGTTGGAGTTCATTCTGAGGAGAGGATCTGAGCACCTATGGACATATCCGGAGTGCAATGATGATAGCCCGACTAACTAACTAACTAACTAACTAGCTAACTAACTAACTA